GCTAGAGTCCACAGCCCAGCCTCTAGAGCCCTTTTTTCTTGCCTATCCCCCGAGCAAACTCCAACGGTGGAGTTGCTTTTACACAAAGGCCTGCCTTGCGGATCTTGCTTGCCACGCAAATCGACCGCAATCAACACAAACCACGAATCGATAAGCAAGCAAACAAAGACTACTAAATGCATTTGCAGGCAACTTGTCGCTTCATTGTGTCCTTTCAGCATTTCTGAAAGAAAAGCAAGAACGCACAAAAGCAAAACAAAAACATGAGGACATGTATAACAAGAAGAGATTATATTTAAATTAGCGCAATCCTATCTACAATCTCATTTTATCTCGCACACTTTTTTGTTAATTTAATTATATTTATTTCATTTGATCTGATTGGCAGGTATGTAATAAATAAAAATGAGTGTTTAAATAATATCATCCTTAAAAAAAAAATAGAGTTTTAATGAAACATTATCGATACTGTTCACTTTAACGAAAAACCATATTTTTATTCTAAAAAGCCAATCATAGTACTATTCACTTACAACACTTTTTTGTCATTTTCATTAAAACTCAAAATTTTCAAGTTATTTTCATTAGTTTTTCTTAAAAACAACCTTAAGAGACTTGTTAATTAAATTAACACAAGTCAATTATTGGATCTCGCAACAAGACACAGTGATTTTCAACGACAACCACACACAGTAGTAGCAATCTACATCGACAATTTTAACCACGTTTTTCGGAAGAGGATCCTCTCCTGAGCTTAGGATAGGGATCCTCCTGACCGGATTATCCGGGCTGTTCAAATTTAATCTAACGGTTGCAATTATTATAACTTTTAGAAGACCTCTTGTTTGGATCCGTTTGATTAAATTTGAACGGCCTGGATGATCCGGTCAGGAGGATCCCCATCCTGAGCTCAGGAGAGGATCCTCTTCCACGTTTTTCTTGATATATTATTTTTGTTGTTTTTAGAATGAGAATATCATATGGGCATATTCAAATTTTAGCCTCACACACTGAGTTTGTAATTATATTTGCATAAGTAACAGGTATATATGAGGCTAATGTATTATGAAACACAAAATATGACAATCAAATAAGCACAACTAATAATAATAAAACATAACAATTCATCCACTCCAGTGTTTTACTTCAATTTCATTTTATTCAACACACTGTATCCCGGGTTCAAACCTTATTCTTCACGTAAATTAGTATAAAATATTGTTTTTAATTTAAAAAAATCACTATTGGAATATAGAGGGAGTGCATATATATGGTACTGTTAGCTAAACCTGGCATTCGTGTCATGTTTTCCATGTTCATATCTGTAAGATCCCACATCGACCAACGGAGAAGGGGTGACGTGCCTTATATGTACATGCTCCCCTCCCTATAGCACGAGGCCTTTTGGGAACTCATTGGCTCCGGATCCCATAAGAACTTCGTAGTTAAGTGAGTTTGGACGAGAGCATTCCTAGGATGAGTGACCCCACTGGAAAGTTCTCGTGCCGAAACCCAAGAACAAATCTGTGAGGGCATGGCCCAAAGCGGACAATATCTTGCTATGCGGACTGGGATGTGACAATGTCGTTTCGTGACATACCAGATATGAGTCGTGTCATGTAACACCCGTTAAAGTAAACGGGTAATATGGCCGCATATAAAAAGATAAGGTTCTTTATGCGGACTGAGATGATATTGTCCGCATAATTATATAACACGCATGCATAACAAGCCGCATATAAAAAGATAAGGTTCTTTATCTGTATATATATACACGACACGCCTACCATGTTCCCATATTTAGTCTTACATTAATCCTTTTTCTTTGTCGAATTTAGTCTTATATTAATCGAGTTGCATATATTTCTAGCAATTGGTATAATCTTGTCAAATCTCTTAATTCTTAATTATTTCAAGGATTAACATTAAGCATATCTCTTGCTAATTCAAAGATATTTGCGATCGCTTGAACAGTTGAACCTGTAATCCATTATTCAAACGTGCCCGAAAATATTTAAAGATTGCCTGAAAAAGAAAGGAATTCCCACATTGAATTGAACTAATTATGCAGCAAACATTGAATGCCTGTGGACAAAGGGTTTTTGGTTTTATCCATTTGCCCACATTTCCCCCCCCCCCCCAAAAAAAAAAAAAAAAAAAAGGATCTCCCCTTACGTGGCTGACGAATGTTACATTGTGTTAGGTCTTTTTCTGATTTGTTTTAGCATTATTGTTCGCCAGAGAAACTTTTATAGATATTGAAAACATAAATCACGTGATAAATTATTCTGCGTGGTATAAGTTATAATAAGGATCAATTATCATCATAGTTGATGATACATTTCAATTTAAAACATATATATGAATAAAAGCAAATTTATAAGTTAAAATTTAAATAAAATACTAACGTCATGTGATTGTGTTTTAGAAATTTTAAAAAATTGTTTTACCCTTGTTTTATTTTTCGTAACCTACCTAATGCATCATGGAGAGAGAGAGATTTTTCAATGTGACATGTACATGGGTGGGACACTACGTGTCATTATATAAATAGTGAAATATGTGTATTAAAAAGTTAATAATTTAAAAAATAAAAATTTTCACCACTTATAAAAATACATGATGTACCAATAGGGGAGGATCTATTAAGGAACCAAGGTGGTCCTAGGACCACCCGAAAGTCCGAATAGTTGGCTGTGAAGACCACTGAGGACCACCTAAATCTGGGCATTTGGTGGTAATGGATGCGGGGAAAGAAAACCAGAAAGGGCAGCCTGAGGAGGAAGAAGAAGAAAAATAGTTTTTTTCAACTTTTAACGCTCGACAATACGGCATCGTTTCATCATGTCATTTAATAAGTATTTGCTTATGACCATTTGTTTTTGGGCCAAGGCGTTTTCTAGCTTTTAGAAAATTAAGCCACGTCACTTTATTTTACATCTTTGCTTTTTTTTTTTTTGGTTGAAATTATATCCTTTTATTCTCTACCACTTCCTCAATCTTCCTTTCTTGTTTTGATCTATTTTTTAGTTGCTATCAATTTCATCTTGTTTGTGTGTATGTTCTTCTCCTTGTTTTATTAATTGTTTATTATTTTCATTTGTCATCGTTTTCTAATTACAGAAGACAATTTCTATTTCTATGCTTATTTTACAATAAACGAAGAAGGAAAGTTTGAATCCGACGTCGTGGTTGAATAGGAAAACTCTAACCACCAGGGCAATGCATCACTTGCATTGTTTGCTTCGTTTTAAACCAGTCATAAAAACTGAAAATCAAAACATTTAGGTATAAAATGCTAAAATTGAAACCTTGTGGTTCATTTTGGAAATGATCCCAAGTTGTAGTATGTAAAAATGAAAAGTTAGTAGTTCATCATTTAATTTTTCAAGGTTTTTTGTCTAATTTTTTACAGAGCTTCTAAATTGGAACCATCCAATATTAAAATTCTGGATTCGCCACTGTGTACCACTCATGTTCCATGTTTCTCATGCGGATGTACCATCCTTACACAGAGGCCTGCCTTGCGGATCTTGCCTGCCGCGCAAATCGACCGCAATCAACACAAACCACGAATCGATAAGCAAGCAAACAAAGACTACTCAATGCATTTGCAGGCAACTTGTCGCTTCATTGGGTCCTTTCAGCATTTCTGAAAGAAAAGCAAGAACGCAGAAAAACAAAACAAAAATATGAGGACATCTATAACAAGAAGAGATCATATTTAAATCAGCGCGATCCTATCTACAATCGCATTTTATCTCGCACACTTTTTTGTCAATTTAATTATATTTATTTCATTTGATCCGATTGGCAGGTATGTAATAAATAGAAATGAGTGTTTAAATAATATCATCCTTAAAAAAAAATAGAGTTTAACGAAACATTATCTGTACTGTTCACTTTAACGAAAAATCACATTTTTATTCTAAAAAGTCAATCCTAGTAGTATTCACTTACAACACTTTTTTGTCATTTTCATTAAAACTCAAAATTTTCAAGTTATTTTCATTAGTTTTTCTTAAAAACAACCTTAAGAGACTTGTTAATTAACACAAGTCAATTATTGGATCTCACAACAAGACATAGTGATTTTCAACGACAACCACACACAGTAGTAGCAATCTACATCGACAATTTTAACCACGTTTTTCGGAAGAGGATCCTCTCCTGGCTTAGGATAAGGATCATCCTGACCGGATTATCCGGGCCGTTCAAATTTAATCCAACGGTTGCAATTATTATAACTTTTAGAAGACCTCCTGTTTGGAGCCGTTTGATTAAATTTGAACGGCCTGGATAACTTTTAGAAGACCTCCTGTTTGGAACCCATCTGTAGTATTTTTAGAGAAGACTAGAAATTATGCCCGCGCGTTGCTGCGGGAACCAATTGTTTCAAACATAACCGGATGTATAAAACACATTAAGTTGAATAAATTGAAGACAATTATGAACAAACAGAGGAATACATGAGTGAATAAGGCTGGTAAGATAAGCAGTTTTGCTTTTATACACATTTAAGTGAGTTGGCATATAAACACATTGCACAATGAGTGGGAAGAAATTGTATGTGTTTGATTAGAAAGAGATGGTTTCCAAAAAAATTTTGTTTACTTAAGAAACAAAAGAAACATTTAGTTCACGCATATAACATGTGTCCTGCGATGTAGGCAGGTTATTCAATAGGAAATATAAAATAGAAAGTGTTGAAGACTTGTTGAAGTAGCTGATAAGAAATTGAAGAAACAGAAGTAAGCTGCAGTTTACACTTATTTTGAGCCTGCAGTTAAGACTGCAAAATATATATTCTGCAACCTACAAACCTCACTTAGCAGTTAGCAAAACATAAGAAAAGTGGTGTTTGAGCAAGTAAGTCGTCAACCATAGACGTTAAAACAAAAAAATATGCAGCATAGTGTATAGCATTTGATCACGGAGAGCATGGCTGTTCACTTTTTGTTGTGGTTGTTTGGTCTGTGCGAGGTTTTTTGCTGTGAATGAAGGCAAAATTGATAAGGGTAAAGATAATCATGATAGTTATGGAAAAGAGTGAAAGAGTGGTGGACACCTTTTGATGATTGCAAACATATAACCAAGAGAAGGAAGTACGGTTAATAAGATTGACAGATGAGAGCATTAGTCGGAAGGAAAAGTTACCTGGCAGATGTGAATGGTTGATCAGGGAACAACGTTTTTTTTCGAAGTCTTAGTGGCTGCAATTGATCGGAGTTGTTGATCCAATGGTTGGGAAGGCGTGAATAGGGCTGGAGTGACTTGATTGATAATTGTTTTTGCTATGGTGGGAGCGGGCGTTTGTGGTTTGATTGAGGGGATTGCTGGCTCGGACAGTGCTTTATCTTCAAGCAATCCGTGAACGATGAAATCTGTCTTTCCGAAATTGATGTTCTGATTTCCAAAAGAGACTTGAAATGTTTTTTATTGGCCAATCAAATTTGCAAGAATTGGTGGCGCCACAAAAGGATCCTCATATCCTTCTTGCATCACCAAAGTGTGGCAAGAAACACGAACTACTTTTTCTGCATGCCTTCCTATTATGAGGAAATTGTGTTGATTCGTCTTATCTTCCACAATAACATCAATTTTGAACCTGTGCAAGAGGAGGATATTCTTGTGTTAGACAACCATGACTACTAATATCAACTTTGTGAGCAATGTAGAAAATGCATTAGAATTATCATAATGCAGGGTATGCATGAATAGCATGGACAGAAAGACATATAGATCGTTTAGATGGATATCACTCAAGATGAATAAGCTGTGGAAACTAAAGAGCATTTATTGAAAAGTTTTAGTTAACAAAATCTGCAACAACAAAGTATACAACATTTGTTAGCCAATTTTATAAAACCAAAACAGAAACGGAAACAATGGTTCCCAAAGTTTACAACTTAAACCTCATAGTTGCAAGGGTCACACATCAGTCAAAGTATAGTGGGGATGAAGACTACCCCAAAGTTAATTGCATGCATGCATTGAGATTGTGAACCAAAGATCAATTAAGGCATCACAGTGATTGTAAAAGCATATGCCGGCTAGATAAACGTCAGTGTTTGTGCTTTTACATGAAAGTGAATTGAAGATGTTGTAAATTTAACCATCAAGTATAAATAGTCTTTTTATAAAGTTGAAAGGGATATGTAACGGTAGGTTTGTCACATGTTGAAATTTGTTGCTGCATAGAATATTATAAGCATAAAAACATGATTTTGTATGAATTTCATAACCATCAGAAATAAAAAATGGAGTCAGCAAATTAGTATAAGGAATGGATGAAAAACAGATGCGAAAGAATATTACCATGGTTCGGGTAAATATTCAATAAACCATGTTCATTGCACTCAAACGATCCAGATGTGTTTTTAACAGCTTTATGGCAGGATGGACAGCTTGTACCACCAGCCCCTGCCTAAATCAAATCCAACAACAGTCGCTTGGCATGTGAAACTTTCATTCTGTTATTGAGTCACAGGTTTTCAAATCATTAAACATATATAATCGTCATTTTGCAAAGATGGAGCATAAGCAAATAAAGAAAGAAATCAAGAAGCAGCCAAGGAAGATGCAACAATTTTTTTCTTGTAAAAAAGAAGAGGTAACTTTTGTTAACATGTCGGTGATGAGAGACTAACCTTGTGCAATGCAGGATCAAGTAAAAGTAAGTAGTTGATTGTATAAGGATCCCTAAACCAAACATTATATGGATTAGTGTCCAACTTGACTAAAATATGTTTATTCTTATTTTGGCACTTGATTCCATTGGAATGACATATATAGAAATTAAAAAGAAAGCCAGATACCCATAACTAAAGGAAACAACAGAGTAATTATAAAGATTGCAGGAGCCCCTTAGAAGATAATCCAACCAGTTTATTTTGGTTTACAAACAGAGAGAGCAAGAAATTTTCAAAAAAATAATAGAATTGGATAGACATTATTTAAACCCAAAAAAACAAAGTACTATCGGACCTTTGGACAATCAGAGGTGATAGAGACAATCAAGAATGAGAAACAAAGCATGGGACAAACGTATAATATAAGATCCTATCAATAGGCGTGCACCAGCCAAAGGTAAGTTGATATTTCTTTCTTTTCAAATGGCTGCCATATTATTGTTTTTATACATGTCCATGGATTATATAACATCCTATCAAATTTATTTTTCCTTTTACTATTTCTAGTTCCTTGATGGCTTTCGTTCCTTCATGTTTTGTATTTGCAGTTCCTTTCACTACGTTTAAGATGACGTCTTCTTATATTCCTCTAGAAGAATCATATTTGCAACATCGTTTGTCATTCCTGAAGAAAAAGGGAAATACCAATCTTAAAAAAGGAAAAAATTCTAGTGCCAAGACTTACATGTTAATGGGGAGTACTGATCCAACAGGGATTATGGAAAAGGATAAAATATATGTCAAATGTTCAACGATTGATATCCAGTGTTTTCAAAATTGGTCGCAATCTCACCCCATAAGGTCACCCTCACAGTTTCACCCCTGTAATTTATTTAAAAGTTAGCAGTTAGCACGGTGCGATGTAAAAATAATAATAAAAATTTAAAGCATACAGAAATCACCTGATATTTTCTAGATTAAGATTTCTCTTTTTTGCAATTCTTGTGTGTTGGATAGTCAACTCTTCAATCGGCTGCACAACCGTCAAGCAACCAAATATATCTACGAATGATATTCATCAGTGGGAATCGGTGTGCACGGAAGGCAACAAAAAAATTAAAATGATTGTCTCGGTTTATGAAGCAGTGCTTAAAATAAAATTTGTTACCTGTGAGTTTAACATCCCTATCTATTCTTTCGTAAAGATGTTCCAAGTGCAATCAAATTGAACCATTGCATCGGAATCTCTTGCGTTGTTTTCTGAACAGGAACGATTGTGGTCTTATGATTTAACTCAATGATCGCAGCATGAGGTACAACCTTGTTTGACGCCCTATTGTGAAAAACACAGTTTTTGTTGATTTCGTATGCATCACCGACCCTCAGATGGTCCAAAAAAGATTGAACATCTCGAGCATTTGTTGTTACATGAATCGCATCCCCCTTTCAGAAAGAGGAAACCAAAATAAGACATAATACTAAATGAGCAGGAAAGATTTAGCATAGACGATGATACAATCACTCAAACAGTTAAGATAGGATGGTTGTTTTTACAGAGATAGCATGTAAGATCACATGCAAGATATCGGCATCCATCAGAGCAATGTTGTAAAAAGAAATTTAGCTTAATTTGCAGAGGCACGAAAAAAAATTTAAATTAAGGAATAGAACGGTTGATAGTTGATAATCTGATTGCACGTGTTGTTTGTTTAGTTAAAAAAGGATTTGAAGCAGAAAATGCATCGGAACCTAATCCCTGAAACCCTTTCTCTCGGACACCCCATACCACAGAAAATGCATCTGAACTTTAGTTTATAAAATCGCAGGCCGCCTTCTCCTTCCTACCTTTTAACAATTCACCAGTAAGATTATCCAAATAAAAACTTATATCTAGCAAATCCAATGATGAGTTCACAGAAGCTGTAATGAAAGCTTATATTGAGAAAGAATGAAAAGCCGTCTTTCTACAACTTGAAACCAAAATTTAAGTGAATGGCCTAGTAACTAAGGTTATTGAACATGATTAACTATCCGCAATATGACAACTATCCGCAACCCTCAACCTTGTAACTTGAATCAAGCTGGTTTCACACATACCAATAGAAAACCAAAATATCAATGTTTGGGGAAGTTACCTTATTTGAAATACCACTAAAAAACAAAGTATACTTTTAGACAAATATTGTTTAAACACCGAAACATAATTCATGATATGTGCCAAAAAGAAAATACCTCTCGATTAGATTTCTTTCGTTCACGAACTTTCTCCCTAACAAACTCCTGAGATAGAACAAAGGTCGTACCCAGTGCACAAGGCTCCCGCTTTATGCAGGGTCTGGGAGAGGTGAATGTCGGCTAGCCTTACCCCCATTTATGGAGAGGCTGCTCCCAAATCTCGAACCCGAGACCTACCGCTCATGGGCGAAGGCACTTGCCATCGCACCAAGTGCGACCTCTAAACTCCTGAGATAGAACCAAAAAAAGAAAATAAGTCACAAATGGTGCAAGTAGAGGGGAAAGAGGTAGAGAAAAGTAGGAATTTATGAGTACACTACTCGTGTTTTAGGTTCCCTATAAGGATGCTAACTTCATCATATAGGACCACCGTTAAACGCATTTCTTTCTGCAATTAAATTAAGAAAAAAGTTCGACACTCACATGCCACAACACATCAATGAAAGCTAAATTATCCCCATCTTGAATCTTTTATAAAACAAAGCACCAAGAAAATTTTAACAATAAATTTTTCAAACAAAAAACAAAACGATGAAAGAAATTTCAACATAGGCTTGTTTCAGACATTAACATCTTACTTTGAAATTTCTCCCACGGAATGAGACTTTAGTGTTCATTGACAGTCATTGTAGAGTAAACATTAGGTGGATAACTCTTTGACTATGTCATTAGACAACTACAAAAGCTTACTTTCCATAAGCTTGTAACTTACAAATTTCAAACTACATGGATCATTTGTGTGTCCTCGGCTTTGATTCTGTAATCATGTTTACGATTGAAACATTAACCAAAACCAAAAAAACAAAAATGTGACGCTCTCTCTCTCTGTGGCTTTCTTATAACACAAAAATATCCCTAATTAGAGCATGCCACACACCAACACATTGCTATTATAGAAGTATTTTTCTTAGTGGCAAGTATTATACTCTCATTTGGCCAAGAGGATATGAAATTGGTTGAGTATACTGTTCTAGCTATTTGGATCAATAAGCTCAAGTTTGTATTGTACAAAACCATAAGTACTCAAGACATATGAAATCCAATCTTTCACTTTACAAATAACATATGGGTAAAATAATAGCACGGAAGAAAAGGAAAGAAATAGAAGGCTTTAGAACACGAATATACTTGAGGTGCTGAAATATGGAGCTGAGGAAATGTTTTCTTCTTATTTTGAGGGAAGAAAAATGCAGCTTTGAATTTGGACCCATTTTCTTAACCAGTGGTTCCTATAACTCATATATAATTTTAGTGTCATTCAAAATCACAAATACCTCAGATGAATTGAAAAACTGCAGAGATTAGTTTCATGAATACATAATGAAGCAGAAAGCCATAGTTAATCTAAAAAGAGGCATACACATACTACCAATCCTTCGAATGTTCTCTGCACGATGTTCTGCTTTAAAACTAAGGTGCAATTCAAGCCATGCCTGACATTGTCCCCATCAAGAATGTACAACAGCTTCCCCTGCGGTACAAACTCCCACTCAAAGCACACACCACCGTGCTCTTCCCTGAACAAACTAAATAAATTATACGCAAGTAATGAGCAACTTTCTTTTGGCACATAGTCTAAGTTCATACTTAACCTTTAGCATCGTTCAATCATATACTACCAGTATGATGACCCAGGTATGATTCTAATTTACATCTGTTCTTATAAAAAAGTTTATATACATAAATTTCAATATGTCATGTATATTTCATTCAAATTGTTGCATATTGCAATCAAGGCTCATTAACAATAGAAAATTCAACGATTTGTCAAAAAGGTGCAAGAATCAAACCTGTTTATCAACGATGAAACAGTCAAGACCTGTAGGTTGAGGATCATGTCCGATGCTTTTTGTGACCCACATCCTGCAAACTCGGATCTGGAGTTTGCTCCCTGGTTGGTAGGGCTTCAGAAGACAAATCGGCATCAGCTCCATCAATCTAGGGAAAATAAAATTTAAAAGCAAATTTAATTCAACATTGAATAAGGTAATACATTAAAGAATAGCAGAGCCATATTTCAAAAAATAAATAAAAGCACATAACGTTAATATAAATGTATACCGTGATGCAAATGTTTCAAAACATCTTTGTAAACGATGTTTTTTGTATAACCGTAAGGCACGTCAGCATTGTGAGCAATAACAATTTTGAGACCTTTTGCTGAGGTGACCCTGGACAACGCAACATATAGTTGTCCATGAGAAAAAACAACTTGTGATAGAAACAGGCCGACAATTTTCAAGGATTGTCCTTGACTTTTGTTGATTGTCATCGCATAACAAATTTTTAGAGGGAATTGTTGTCTTCGTAGAGTGAAGGGATATTTATGTTGCGATGATTCAATAATGATCCTGGGGATATATACTATTTCGCCAATATTGCTTCCCGTCATGATTTTTGCTTGTACAACTCTGTCGTTCAATTGTGTTACAACCAATCGTGTTCCATTACACAACCCCCCACTTTGATTTAAATTTCTGATCAACATCACTGGGGCACCAACTTTTAAAGCCAACTTGTGGTGCGGCAAACCAGGTAAATCAAGTTGGTTTAGAAATTCTATTGGATAAAGCATATCTAAATTTTCAGAATTTTGTGTTGCAGAAGACACCGAATCAAAACTGAGATAAGTACAGCTTTCGCCAGGCACCATACCTAACACAAAATCGTTTATTTCAGTGGCTGTATCATTTCGTGGTGTCACAATAGCTCTTTCTTTTAGATATGACACATCTCAGAAATTTGTTGTGAAATTTGTATACACAGCTGAAACCATGGATTTGATGGGATCTTCATCAAAATGGATAAGGAATTGTTTTTGAATTTCGACCCAGGAGCTTTCTTCATCAGCTGAAGATATAGATCTGGCAACAGTACCGTTTCCAATATCTAATATCCACTTTGCAAAATCAGCAAGTTCTTTTTTTTCCACTTCGTTTAGACCTGTTTTCGAAAGCCTCATGTTTTGCTTTAGGAAAAATATAGTTAAATAGGACCAAATGTATGAACTCGTCAATGAAGCTTGAACAATGTCAGCAACACTTCCGCTTGGAACAACAGGAAGAATTTGCTTGAAATCACCTCCAAAAAGAATTGGTTTACCTCCAAATGGCAAATGGCCAAAGCCTGGTTTTGACCCTTTAATAACATCACTAAGAGATCTATCAAGAGTTTCAAAACATCGTTTATGATTCATGGGGGCTTCATCCCAGACAATAAGAGCAGCTTCAGTGATTAGTTTTGCAAGATGAGTCCCTTTTTTAATCTCACAAACAGAACAATCTGTGAGGTTAATAGGAATTTTAAATCTAGAGTGAGCTGTTCTTCCACCAGGAAGCAAGAGGGAGGCAATTCCAGATGAAGCCACCGCTAAAACAATTTGATTTTGGGATCTAATTCTAGCTATGATGGTGGTCCACAAAAAAGTCTTGCATGTCCCACCATGACCATGCACAAAAAATAGGCCAGATCTGTTGTTGTCAATCGTGTCTATGACGCTGTCATAAACTAATTTTTGCTCCTTGTTTAATTGGCTGATCAGAAGTGAGTGCTCTTGTTTTAGTGAGTTAGCATTGTAATTTAACTCTTCTCTCAAACTCCTATTCTTCAGTCTATCCATCATTAGATTGTTCGGTTGTGGCAGGTGATATTTTGATAAAGAAGTATTCGAAGCTGTGAACAACTTTTCTAACTCATACAAAAGAGAATTTCTAAGTTCATCCTGGTATTTAGAAACATCTTGCGGGCCAAAAACGTTAAGCATGTTTCTGGAAATGTCATCGCACATGGACTTCCAATGCGCTTCAAACAAAGTTAATGGATCAGCAACATTGCAAAAGAGCACCAATGTGACAAACAACTGCCTTAATTGAAAAGATGACGCAGTGATAACTGCTTCTAACATAGCACTATTCCATTCCCTATCATCTCCCAATAAACCAAGGGATGTACATGCAGCTTGGAATGTGGGTTCAAGAACATCTTTGACAATCTTTAAATGGTCAAAACTAAAGCTGCCTTTCTGGTAGTTAAGCAACAACCTCAAATAGTATAATTCACCAGCAGCAGGGTGAACATACACAACCCTACCCAAAGATCTACCTTGTTCTCTACGGCTCCATTGTTTCCTATCATTTTTCCAAACGTACTTAGTAGGAAATTCAACGTAAGATAACTTACGTGCATCAGAGTCTTGGACATTGGTTTCAAACCATTTTGTTAACATTGTTCTTTCGAGATTAGGGTTGTTGATAACATAGTTGAGATCATCGATCTCTCTAAAAACAACATTTTGGTCAAATGGAAGGTGAACAGACAATCTTTCAACCGATGGTTCCCTAAAATGAATGTGAAACTGTAACAATCTCCAAACAGCTTCGTAAGGGCATAAATATCTACAATTTAAATAAGCCACAACCTCATCAAACTCTTTATCCTCAAAAACAGCTCTAGCCCGATCAACGCCTTTAGTTATGTACTTAAAAAGATATTTGATGAGTGTTGATTGAGAGCATGATTCAACATTTATATGCGCTTGATAATTCAATAATAGCTCACGATTGTAAGGGAAAACAAATGCATTATCAAGCTTGATTCCATTTTTCAGAACAAACAGATTTTCTATATCTCGACGCTTATAAGCAACGAAACCATCATCCGAAAAAGTGGTTTCACTTGTGAAAGGTTTTGGAAATTTTTTTGAACATTTGTTTTCTTTCATGCATGGTGAAAATCGATTTGCAGGACCACATGGCCCATGGATCATGTACTGCGAAACTGCATCATACCCAACTTGGTCAGAATCTTTATCAGGAAGTTCAGCCGAAATAATAGAATCAACATCGTAGGGAGAGTGACATTTATAATATTTGTTCACCCAGAGCAAGATATGACAATGAGGAAGACCCCGTTTTTGGAACTCCACCGTGTAAATCACTGTTTTTAAATAAAGAATGCAAAGACATCAAAACAAAACGATTTAAATATGCAATGAGAAGATAGATAAACAAAGAAATGGAAAAAATTGGCCAAGAGTGATTAACTAACCAGATTCAACATCGCCAAAAGGTTTCCCTGATTTGATGAATTTAATCATATGATTAAGCTTTGCTTTAAAAATTTTGGAGACTATATCATGCCTGTCTTCAGCTCTACAACCAGGTTTATCACGCATATCTTCAATAATTTCAGGCCATTTAGCATTGCAGGTGAAAGTGATAAATAAATCACGATTTCCAAAGTGACGGCATATGGCCATTGCATCCTGATAATTATTTATCATATATCTAACGCTGCCAGTAAACGAAGTTGGCAAAATGACTCTCTTGCCAACAGCAGAACTGCTTATATTTCTTGCTTTCAGCGCTTCATGAATTCCGTTAAGACTTTCTGTTCTTAAAGAATCTTGATTTGCCTTGATGAAATCTAACCTGTCTTCTTCAAGCGTGGCATATACATCAACTAAATATTGCTGAAATAATATGCCACCTTTCAACAGGGTATCATTGTGTCCTGGTCTATTCTGAATTTGATAAGCCATAAACGCTCTCATTGAAACTCCCCCAGTCTTTGGTTTTTTCCCTTTATAATTTGGACTCCAAGGAAGGCCTTTCTTATACCCATCTTCACCGTAGGGGAAAAGAAGAGGATATTGTAGTGCCATGTACTTAGGATGTAACTTTGTGATTCTTTGTAGGCCATTCGTCCTATGCTTCACAATGATATCTCTTTCAGTGTGGAATTCGCCAATATCCCCAACTATCAAGCCACCTATCTCGTCAGACACAGGCAAATTATATTGTGCATCATGATTGCCTTGCGCACCATATAAACGCAAACGCAAATGACTTGTGGACCCTTCATCAATCATATCTTTGGCGAGCCTAAAAAGCTTAATGACCTCATTACACTCGTCTAGCATTTTAATGAGGCCATCAACAACATGATGGTCGAGTTTTTCAACCGCTTCTGATCCACCAAAACAACCAATACAATTACTCACCTCATTCTAAGTGTCATGAATGTACAGTTGTGCAAATTTAGGATTTTCGCCCTTCAGAGGTAATAAAGAACCCATCAAATGATGCACTTGACCATTTATCTTAAAAACATAAGGACCCCGACCCTTGTTGATTGATGCATCGACTTTGGCTCTCATTGATGTTAACGCTATCATTGAATTATATGATCTAACATTTGTTTTAAATTGCAAGCAGCTTTGAGAATTTTTGGGATTCAACAAATGATCCAGACAAGGAGGTGTGGGTTTAACACGTGGGAATTTTACTTTTTGACTCATGCAACACGCGGTGAACTGCGGGGCAGAAGTAGATGGAACATTCTTTGCGGACTGTTCTGTAGACCAAAACAGAGCACTGTAGTATTGACATTGGCTATTTCTTAAGCCAAAATCAACATATTCTGGATCAATCCCTATAAAAACAAAGATTAACAGAAGCAGCCATCAAATCAACAACCTTAAGTTAACAGATGGAGAAAAGTGAACTTCTGAAATTAGCGAGAAAATGAGGACAGAGTTATGTCGAAAGATTGCATACTCTTTCTTCTTTTTTTTTTATAGTTGGCTTGCCCAGTTATTAGTGGGTTCATGCCAGAATGATTGGTTTGAGCATCAACAGCTAACAGACTCTGCACATTTGCACGATCAGCAAGAAAAGGCGGGCACAGAAATCTGATTAGAACTTGTCCCAGGTTCGAAATGTGGGCTAAAAACACCATGGATGGGAAAATTTTGTTTGAAAGCTGATGCAAATGTTTGGGAAGAGTTGTCTTGGTTTTTAAAAAGTGAGAAAGAACTTGAACCATCATTATTTTGATCGTTGTAAGCGGTGGGAACATCTTGCAACTCTGAATTACTGAGATCACTATCCGCAACAAATGCAGGCAAATCGGCACGTTGAATTTCAACGGCCCTCGTAGGTCGCCCTATTCATCTAGACATAAAAATACATAAAGGGGAAGAGAAAAAAACAGAAACAGCAACAGTTCACTCTCTAATAAAAGCAACACTCCAACCAAATAACCATCCAAACCAAATGAAATTGGTAGCGAACCATGATTCATTAAAGCAAAAGGCAATTAGAAAGACAAACACATTGTAAACACAACAGTAAAAACACAATCATAATGTGATTAGATTAGAACAAATAACAGAGAAACTTAATTTACGGCTGTCTCTCTGGACAGCGTTGTTTCCCATTGCAACGGTAAAAAGTATGAATAAAGCATGCAATGATTGCTAAAAAAACAGTGATAAAGAGCAGCAGGATAAATATCAAATAAGAAAGGAACCACGATCCAAGAAGAATTCATAGATGATTGCATGTGCAAGGCCACAAAAAAGCAAGCAGAAACGAAGAAGGTGATGGTTCTTTAAAGTTGCAGAAATCTAACTAATATAGAGACGGGATTGCAGCTGCACATAAATCCAATCGAGCAGTAATACATCACCGCAAGGATTAAAACAGTAGTTATAGAAGCTACAGAAAGAAAGAGAAAATATAAACACATATACAATTGGAACGATGTATGTTTCAATACTTTAAAGAAATGACATGCATCAAACGCTTTTAGGTTAGAAAAAAAATGCATTGTCTTAAATAGAGATGATCAGGATTTAAAACGTTTAAATTTTGTTGTTGGTTGACTAATTAGATGCAAAAGTGAAAGTACATGAACAATTTAACACGGACAAACACGAATAATACAAAATCACAATTGATCTAACAATAAAAAAGCATATAATGCAAAACAATAAGAACAGGCAAAACATTTTTGGTTGATCTTACAATAGGCTAACAGGATAAACTAAATCACCAGATACTGCAACACTGAGAAAGTTTGAAGATTAAAGTTTGTGTTCACCATGTCTGTTTTCGTAGATGTTGGAAAACATTTTCATTAAATCTGTTTACGGAAACATAGAAATCCATGATGCGATTCCATCACTTGGGATAGCACATGTTCACCAAGAATCCAACATCAAACTAACACTTTCACATCACAAAATATCCATTACATTGGAGACACTTATCAACAGGGTGACATGAACAATCATCATTAAGATTTCCTAAGTTAATTTTTTGTATTCGTCAACTACATTTCACTTGATAAAACAATTTTAGCAATACTTAAGACAGCATAATGGACTTTTGTTCTAGTTTACAAAATATTGACCTGTGTTATAAGCAATGTAATAAAATATGTATAAAATGGTGTGATCTAGTTTCATTGTTTTTCACAAAGCTCTCAGTTTAGACTCTTATGAAACGTTGAGTTTGATACAAATTATTAATGATAGAAATACTCCAACATGTTTTGAGTTTAAGTACGACCACTTAACAATGCCAACTCATCCATAAGTTGAATAATTCTAATTAGTTTGATGATGCAATTTTTATATACTTATATGAAGAAAAACGAATGGAGTACGTAAAACCAAATTCTTAGTAAAAGAATTAGGTAAATCTAATCAACAACCACTGATCAAATTGTAAAAGTGAGATATGAGTTTTTCTCGCTTCAATAGAAGCACCAAAGTCAAAGGTTTTTATATGCATTATGAGAAAAAATCATTAGGGCACCAAAAATCATAGCTTAAAGTTAAGCCAAAAAAGTAAGAGGCACACAATTGAAAATACTCGTTGATGAGAACAGCCCGCTCACTTAGAAAACCAAAACATCAAGACAACAACCACCTTAAAAGTGTATAACCAGCAAAAAAGTATTGGCTAAAGGATCCTATTAACAACAATAGAAATGGCATACAAATTTAAGGAGAGAAACATAATTCTAGCACAATAAGGTTATTGCGAGCTAAAAACATTAATCAGAAAGATAGAACTGCAGCAAAAAGGTGAAAAAAGAGTACTAACAATACTTTATCCTTAAAATGATAAAAGGGTCAGCAAAAAACATTCATTAGTGAGATAGAAGTGTACCAAAAAAGTGCAAAAAAAAGTATTAACAACACTTCCTTAAAACGGTAAAAGGCTTAATTGTTTACATTATCACCCTTATGACCGAACAAAAAAAGTTTACATTGTGTCAATCTTATCTAAAACACCGGTCCTGTCTTTAGACATTTAAAACCCAAATGGCCGTTGCAGCAAAGGCAAGTAAGAGCAACAGAACTCCAACTTTTTTCTAGCGAGCAAAGCTGTAAATCCCACTGAAAAACCCCAAAAAACTTTGCAAAGGTTTTTTATCCAACAAAACCTTTTCTTTTGTCGGATTACTACGATTTGCAGGTGGATACATGGTATGGACCACCAATTTGTTTTTGTTTGCACCCCTACCATAAACACGCAAACCCATTCTTGTTTTTTGTATTTTTGCTGCTCTCGTTGTACTTGGTCCCGGGGCAATGTCATAATATCTCACTAATGTCCCTCAATTTCGTTCATCATGTCGAGCCTTAACCAGTTTCCTTAAATTTTTTACTAACACTCCTAGAATTTGTTGCTCTCTTCGATCAATCTCGCACACCATTTTATTTAGCCTGGATCAAAAATTAAATACGGCGTTAATATTTATGTTTTTTTTTAAATATCTTTTAGCTTGTAGGTTGAAAAATAACACCGTCAAAAATCTTAAAAACTCAGATTAATAATGTAAATGCAGAAGATTTGCAAAAGTTAGATAACAGCTAAAGAAAACCCAATCAAAATGCATTTTGACAGTGTTTTGGATCAAATTTTGAAGGGATGGCTAATAAAGAAAATGCATGATTTAATTATTTATGATCAAATGATACTTGTAGTTTGAATGTAAATATCCATGATTTTTCCTTAATATCTTAGTTGCATTCCTACATTGTTAAAAGGTTGCTCATTTTGTTAAATATGGAAGGTAAAAATGTCCAGTTCGTTTAGAGAGTGCAGTTATCAACCAAACATGTTAAAGCATTTTGGGGAGGATGAGACAGTTCACTATTAGAAAACCAAACGAAAACACCAACCAACCAATAACAGAATAACAGAATAACAGAGATTAAATGCCCAACAACATCTGATAAAGAATTAAGAACATTGGGTTAAACCAGAATCACAGAGATAGCAAGGAACTTTGAAACAATAACAGAATTGCACAAACATAATTAAAACAATAAAAAATTAAGTCAAACCATCTGACCTCTGGACAATGAGACAATGACCAAGACAACCAAGAATGAAAAACAAAGTAGAAAGCAAATGAATAAGATAATGCGATGAAACCAAACACAATCAATCAAAAAATCATAAAGTGGTGGTGCCTCAAGCGGAAAGAATGGGAAAAGAATGCATTTAAGTTCAGGTGACTTACCAAAGTGTTGATTCAAATGCACGAAGCAGCAAGAGCAAATTATAATGATGTGATGAGACTCTAATCTAAACTGCAAAAAATGAGTGAGATTCAGTAAGAATTAAAACCGTTAACAAATGGATTCAATAAACTAACTAAGACTATAACACACCAATTGTATAGTTAAGACAGCTTTCACACTTATTAAACCATGAGGGTCAAGTCTGATTGAAATACATTTGAAGATTATGTTTGTATAAGGGATCCCTGAACCAAACGTTATATGGATAAGCGTCCAACTTGACTAAAGGATGTTTATTCTAATTTTGGCACTTGATTCCATTGGAACGACATATATGGAAATTAAAAAGAAAGTCAGATACCCATAACTCAAGGAAATAATAGAGTAATTATCAAGATTGCAGGAGCCCATTAGAAGATACTCCAACCAATTTATTTTTCTTTACAATCAATCAATCAAAAAATCATAAAGTCGTGGTGCCTTAAACAGAAAGAATGGGAAGAATGCATTTAAGTTCAGGTGACATACCAATGTGTTGATTCAAATGCACGCAGCAGCAAGAGCAGATTATAATGATGTGATGAGAGTCTAATCTAAACTGCCAAAAATGAGTGAGATTCACAGTAAGAATTCAAACCGTTAACAAACGGATTCAATAAACTAAGTAAGACTACCAATTGTATAGTTAAGACAGTTTTCACACTTATTAAACCATGAGGGTGAAGTCTGATTGACATACATTTGAAGATTATGTTTGTATAAGGGATCCCTGAACCAAACATTATATGGATAAGTGTCCAACTTGACTAAAGAATGTTTATTCTAATTTTGGCACTTGATTCCATTGGAACAACATTTATGAAAATTTAAAAGAAAGTCAGATAGCCATAACTAAAGGAAATAACAGAGTAATTATAAAGATTGCCCATTAGAAGATACTCCAACCAGTTTATTTTGCTTTGCAATCAATGAATTGGACGTGCGCAGGCAAGCAATTGGACGTGCATTCAGATCAAGTAAAAATAAACAACCACACGTAGAATCACAGGCTACAAACAAAACCCCCAACACAATCGCAAATGGAAGGAAATGGTAAATGATAGAAGAAGAGATGGGACAGAGAGGGAGAGATACAATCCATCAACCCCAGCCTCTCTCTGCAGCCAACACATTTGTTCCCTCAACCCTACCCTCAAACCGTGCACCCAAAACAAATTCAATCAGGAAACAGAAAGTTAAGAACAGCCTTAACTAACTGAGTATACCAAAGAATCAAATTAAACAGAAATTCTTAAAATTTTGGCATCCCAATAATCAAATAAGGAAAAACAACAATGTGTGTACTGTGTCTGTGAGTGCATGGGCTGCATAAGCGTGTAAGAGTATATTGTATTGCTGACAAAAAACAACAAAAGCTTCCAAGTGATAAAAAAGGCATAAGTGTGCGAGTATATATTGTATATGTTGTGTGTATAAGTACATGACAGTGTTTGCGTGACATTGCATGTGCGCGTACCATGGATGTATATAAAATGTACTTGGAAAATATTGCAGAAGCTGTAATTCATAAAATTCATAAGATGCTAAATGAAAAAAAACCTGGTATTTAATATATGGAACTCAAAAGTATAAAGAACAAAGACAAAAGGTTGAAATTTACTCAAACCCAATAATAATAGACAAAATTAAAGTTAATTATTTACAAATTCTAAATTCTAAACCTACAAAACCCAAATTAAAGACAAAATTCAGAATTCATAACAAAAGAAAACCCAAATTAAACACAAATTAAGGTGCCTTCAGAGGCATAAGCTTAAGAACGCAAGAAATTGGAACCTCCCAAAAGCGCATACAGAGAGAGAAGAAAATACAATTTGGGGTATATTTTGGAACTCACCACAAGAGTTTTGAAGGAGGCACAGAAGGAAGATCTGCGAGGCAGATTTGATCATGATGGAATAGGGTTGTACAATTACTGTGAAAATCAAAACTCAATTAACAAAAAATATATGATAGAACTTGAGCATTTCCTAGTGAGAAAACCACCAAAAGAAAAAGAAGATATTAACTTCCATTAACACATTCCTCTTATGAACTCGAAAAACGATATTCAATTGTAAGTATAGTCTTGTATGATAGTTTCCTAAGGTCTCTTAATCTCAAAACATCTCTGCTGTAAATAATGGTCAAGCATGTAGGCCAAAATTAGTATTAGGATTCTAGGCATGAATCCATCAACTATCGAACGCAACCCGATCTACATAAACCACAACAACAACAACAACAACAACAACAAAGCCTTTTCCCACTAAGTGGGGTCGGCTATATGAATCCTATAACGCCATTGCGCTCGGTTTTGTGTCATGTCCTCCGTTAGATCCAAGTACTCTAAGTCTTTTCTTAGGGTCTCTTCCAAAGTTTTCCTAGGTCTTCCTCTACCCCTTCGGCCCTGAACCTCTGTCCCGTAGTCACATCTTCGAACCGGAGCGTCAGTAGGCCTTCTTTGCACATGTCCAAACCACCGTAACCGATTTTCCCTCCTCTTTCCTTCAATTTCGGCTACTCCTACTTTACCTCGGATATCCTCATTCCTAATCTTATCCTTTCTCGTGTGCCCACACATCCAACGAAGCATCCTCATCTCCACTACACCTACGTGTTGATGCTTCACCGCCCAACATTCTATGCCATACAGCATTGCCGGCCTTATTGCCGTCCTATAAAATTTTCCCTTGAGCTTCAGTGGCCTACGACGGTCACACAACACGCCGGATGCACTCTTCCACTTCATCCATCCAGCTTGTATTCTATGGGTTGAGATCTCCATCAAATTCTCCGTTCTTTTGCAAGATAGATCCTAGGTAGCGAAAACGGTCGCTCTTTGGTATTTCCTGATCTCCGATCATCACCCCTAACTCATTTTGGCCTCCGTTTGCACTGAACTTGCATTCCATATATTCTGTCTTTGATCGGCTTAGGCAAGGACCTTTAGATTCCAACACTTCTCTCCAAAGGTTAAGCTTCACGTTCACCCCAAAGAATATCATCTTAAATATTAAGTTTGTGATCTTCGCTAGATTGCTCCGGTCATTAGTGTGGATAAGTATGTAAATGGATAGAGACAGGAAAGCAAACACAAGATGTACGTGGTTCACCCAGATTGGCTACGTCCACAGGAGTAAAGGAGTTCTCATTAATTGTGAAGGGTTTACACAAGTATATAGGTTCAAGCTCTCCTTTAGTGAGTACAAGTGAATGATTTAGTACAAATGACATTAGGAAATATTGTGGAAGAATGATCTCGTAATCACGAAACTTTTAAGTACCGAAGTGTGGTATCGTCTTCACTTGCCTTATCTGTCTCATAGGTAGATGTGGCATCTTCTTTGGAAGTACTCTTCCTCCCTCCAGGGGGTGGTATCTTTAACTGGTGGAGATGCACAAGGTAATGTATCAATTTCACTTGACGCTTACTTGTAGTTTCAGGCTTGGTCAAGCGCGATACAAACCATGTAGTAGGAGTCCCCCAAGTCGCCGAGCTAGGGGATCTGCTGAAAGAGGTGACAGACAAGGTAAGCAATCAGAGCTCCAAGCAATCAGTCCCAGATCAGAAGTTTGATTTCGAGTTCCGGCTGATTGTTATCCTTCTCCTTATCTTGCAGGCAGCATGAAGGATAAAGAGAAGAAAAGGAGAAAATGATGATATGAGATACTTTTGCTTTTGAAGAAGTAACTTTCCACAGGCTTATTCTTGAACTGGGCTGGAGGGTTTTCTTGGTTTTCCTCCAGAGTATAAGGCCGACTGAAGAATTTGAGGGTCAAAACAAGTCCATCAAATCTAGAGTACGTTCGACCCTGCTGATATGGGATACTTTTGCTGTTGACAAAGTAGTGGATGTATCGGCACGTGTTCTGTTACGCTTGTCTCCACATGCTTCCTTGTATCCTTCTCACTTGCCCTATTTGTTCCTCAGGCAGATGTGGTATCTTCTCTGGAAAGCATAAGATGTTGAAGATGAGTACTCGAGAGCAATGGGTAAGTTCCAGGCAGTCAGTTCCGGACTAGGAAGCTTGATTCCAAGTGCTGACTGATTGCTCTCTTTCTCCTTGTCTTGCAGGTAAGAACAAGGCCAAAGGAAAAGACAGGGAAAAAGCATGATATGGGATACTCTTGCTTTTAACCCTGATGATATGAGATATTCTTGCTCTAGGTGTAGCTTGTTTGCAGAGGTATTCTCGGGGGGAAAGAAAGCTGAGTATTTCGAGAGGCTTCGTTGGGAGTGCCCTCTCAGATATGAGGAAGGGTTGAGCATTTTTTGCAGGTCTGCCTGTCCGTTGAGGATGGAGGTCGACATATATAGGAGTCTCCCTAACAAGGAGTAATACTATTCTTTTACCCTGCTTGGTCATAGCACGGTAGTGGGAGCTGCCAGCTTCACGTGTTTTAACTCGGTCAGAGCACTTTGAAAAAGTGGTCTGTGGTATCTGGAAAGCTGATGTTACGTGTGAAGATTACAGACAAGCTTTATCCAAGGAGATCTGGCTCTCGAAGTTGAGAAAGCGGTGTGAGGATTACAGACAAGCTTTATCTAAGGGGCTCTCGAAGTTGAGAAAGCGGTGCCTCTTCGGTTTTCGAACAAGCAATCCTGTCGGGGATCTGTCTCTCGAGATTCGGAGAACGGTGCCTCTTCGATTTTTAAGAAAGCAATCCTGCTAGGAGTCTGGCTCTCGAGATTCGGAGAGCGGTGTCTCGTCGCTTTTTGAGAAAGTAATCATGTTGGGAGTCTGGCTCTCGAGATTCGGAGGACGGTGCCTCTTCGATCTTGAAGCAAGCAATCTTGTTGGGAGTGTTTTCTCGAATGTGAGTAAAGGTTTGGGCCTGTTTGCTAGTCTACCTTGCCACGGAGCACAGAGGTTTGACACACAGGGACTTTCCAATTATCCAGCAGTGGTCTGTTCCTTTACCCTTGTGGGTAATAATATGGTAGCTAGACCTTCAAAATTTATGTGTCTAAACTTTGTTAGTGCTGTTTCTTTGCTATTCTTTTACCCTTCTTGGTCATAGCGATGTAATGGGAGCTGCAAGCTTCACGTGTCTAAACTTTGTCAGAGATTTTTGGCAAAGTTATCTGTGGTACCCGTGAGCTGATGTTGCGTGTGGAAAGTGAATGATTGAACAGTAACATTCACGTGCTTTCTACTTCACCAGAAATCTTCGAACAGAATGCCCGTAATTTCCGCAAAGTTGAGTGTGCATGTGACAGGTGCTGACAAGGCTGAAAAAGCAGGTGCCTCTTCGATTTCTGAGATCGGCCCTCGTGGTCTCTGAGCAGCCCAGCTTTTGAGAAAGCGCTTCGCCTCTTCGATTTCTGCGATCGACCTTCGTGGTCTTTGAGCAGCCCAGCTTTTGAGAAAGCAAACGCCTCTTCGATTCCTGAGATCGGCCCTCGTGGTCTCTGAGCAGCCCAGCTTTTGAGAAAGCAAACGCCTTTTTCGATTTTTCTGAGCAGACGCCTCTTCGATTTCTGATGCTCCATTGAGTGCGGATTTTTATAGAGGCTGGTATTAAATTCCAAAGCACACTTGAATCTCCACCAGTAGAAGCTCCCTTCTTGCATTTTCTAAGATCTTGATTTGTCCGACCTCTTTTCTCTTCAACACCTTTGAAAATGTCTGGCCCCTCCGACCGTCGTTTTGACTTGAACCTTGTTGAAGAGGCAGCCACGCCTTCTCCAGACAACATATGGCGCCCATCCTTCTTATCCCCTACTGGTCCTCTTACCGTTGGGGATTCCGTGATGAAGAATGATATGACCGCTGCGGTGGTGGCCAGGAACCTTCTCACTCCCAAAGATAAACAGACTACTTTCCAAACGGTCTGATGAGTTGGCTGTTAAGGATTCTCTGGCTCTCAGTGTTCAGTGTGCAGGTTCTGTGTCTAATATGGCCCAACGCCTATTTGCTCGAACCCGCCAAGTTGAATCATTGGCGGCTGAAGTGATGAGTCTCAAACAGGAGATTAGAGGGCTCAAGCATGAGAATAAACAGTTGCACCGGCTCGCACATGACTATGCTACAAACATGAAGAGGAAGCTTGACCAGATGAAGGAATCTGATGGTCAGATTTTACATTGATCATCAGAGGTTTGTGGGTTTGTTCCAAAGGCATTTATTGCCTTCGTCTTCTGGGGCTGTACCGCGTAATGAAGCTCCAAATGATCAACCTCCGATGCCTCCTCCTTCTAGGGTGCTGTCCAGTACTGAGGCTCCGAATGATCCCCCTCCGGTGCCTTCTCTTTCTGGGGCTCTGCCGACTGCTGAGACTTCTCCTAAGCAACCTTTGTGAAGGCTCCCTCTTGTTTGTTTATTTTGACTCGTGTATATGTACATATTTGTAACTTCTTAGAGATATCAATAAATAAGCTTTGTTTCATTTCAACGTATTGTGTTAAATACACCAAAGCCTTCTTCACTAAGTTCTTTGAATTTTTTCTTTTGTTGAAGCTTGTATGTTGAAGCTTTGTGAGTGGAGCATGTAAGTTGAGGTAGTGTTCCCTTAATTTCCCGAGTGGGGAAAACTTCTCGATTGGAGACTTGAAAAATCCAAGTCACTGAGTCGGGTCGGCTATATGAATCTTAGAACGTCCATTGTGCTCGATCCTGTGTCATGTCCTCCGTTAGATCCAAGTACTCTAAGTCTTTTCTTAGAGTCTCTTCCAAAGTTTTCCTAGGTCTTCCTCTACCCCTTCGGCCCTGAACCTCTGTCCCGTAGTCGCATCTTCTAACCGGAGCGTCAGTAGGCCTTCTTTGCACATGTCCAAACCACCGTAACCGATTTTCTCTCAGTTTTTTCCTTCAATTTCGGCTACTCCTACTTTACCTCGGATATCCTCATTCCTAATCTTATCCTTTCTCGTGTGCCCACACATCCAACGAAGCATCCTCATCTCCGCTACACCCATTTTGTGTACGTGTTGATGCTTCACCGCCCAACATTCTGTGCCATACAGCATCGCCGGCCTTATTGCCGTCCTATAAAATTTTCCCTTAAGCTTCAGTGGCATACGACGATCACACAACACGCCGGATGCACTCTTCCACTTCATCCATCCAGCTTGTATTCTATGGTTGAGATCTCCATCTAATTCTCCGTTCTTTTGCAAGATAGATCCTAGGTAGCGAAAACGGTCGCTCTTTGGTATTTCCTGATCTCCGATCCTCACCCCTAACTCATTTGGCCTCCATTTGCACTGAACTTGCACTCCATATATTCTGTCTTTGATCGGCTTAGGCGAAGACCTTTAGATTCCAACACTTCTCTCCAAAGGTTAAGCTTCGCATTTACCCCTTCCTGAGTTTCATCTATCAACACTATATCGTCTGCGAAAAGCATACACCAAGGAATATCATCTTGAATATGTCCTGTTAACTCATCCATTACCAACGCAAAAAGGTAAGGACTTAAGGATGAGCCTTGATGTAATCCTACAGTTATGGGGAAGCTTTCGGTTTGTCCTTCATGAGTTCTTACGGCAGTCTTTGCTCCTTCATACATATCCTTTATAGCTTGGATATATGCTACTCGTACTCCTTTCTTCTCTAAAATCCTCCAAAGAATGTCTCTTGGGACCCTATCATACGCTTTTTCCAAATCTATAAAGACCATGTGTAAATCTTTTTTCCCATCTCTATATCTTTCCATCAATCTTCGTAAGAGATAGATTGCCTCCATGGTTGAGCGCCCTGGCATGAACCCGAATTGGTTGTCCGAAACCCGTGTCTCTTGCCTCAATCTATGCTCTCAATGACTCTCTCCCAGAGCTTCATTGTATGACTCATTAGCTTAATACCCCTATAGTTCATGCAATTTTGTACGTCGCCCTTATTCTTGTAAATAGGCACCAAGGTGCTCTTTCGCCACTCGTTTGGCATCTTCTTCGTTTTCAAAATCCTATTGAAAAGGTCAGTGAGCCATGCTATACCTGTCTCTCCCAAGGCTTTCCACACTTCAATCGGTGTATATCGTCTGGGCCCACTGCTTTTCTATGCTTCATCTTCTTCAAAGCTACAACCACTTCTTCCTTCCTGATTCGACGATAAAATGAGTAGTTTCTACACTCTTCTGAGTTACTCAACTCCCCTAAAGGAGTACTCATTTCATGTCCTTCATTGAAAAGATTATGAAAATAACCTCTCCATCTGTCTTTGACCACGTTCTCTGTAGCAAGAACATTTCCATCCTCCTCATCCTTGATGCACCTCACTTGGTTTAGGTCCCTTGTCTTCTTTTCCCTTGCTCTAGCTAGTTTATAGATATCCAACTCTCTTTCTTTGGTATCTAGTCGCTTATACATATCGTCATAAGCCGCTAACTTAGCTTCTCTCACAGCTTTCTTCGCCTCTTGCTTCGCTCTTCTATACCTTTCCCCATTTTCATCGGTCATATCCTTGTATAAGGCTTTACAACATTCCTTCTTAGCCTTCACCTATGTTTGTACTTCCTCATTCCACCACCAAGATTCCTTTTGGTGTGGAGCAAAGCCCTTGGACTCTCCTAATACCTCTTTTACTACTTGTCGGATACAGCTAGCCATGGAATCCCACATTTGGCTAGCTTCCCCCTCTCTATCCCACACACACTGGGTGATTACTTGCTCTTTGAAAGTGCCTTGTTTTTCTCCTTTTAGATTCCACCATCTAGTCTTTGGGCACTTCCAAGTCTTGTTCTTTTTTCTCACTCTTTTGATATGTACATCCATCACCAACAAGCGATGTTGATTAGCCAAGCTCTCCCCCGGTATAACTTTGCAATCCTTACAAGTTATACGATCCCTTTTCCTCATTAGAAGAAAATCTATTTGTGTTTTTGACGACCCACTCTTGTAGGTGATCACATGTTCTTCTCTCTTCTTAAAGAAGGTGTTGGCTAAGAAGAGATCATATGCCATTGCAAAATCCAAGATAGCTTCCCCATCCTCATTTCTCTCCCCAAAACCATGGCCACCATGAAAACCTCCATAGTTGCTTGTCTCCCTGCCCACGTGTCCATTTAAATCTCCTCCTATAAATAACTTCTCCGTCTGAGCAATTCCTTGCACCAAGTCTCCAAGGTCTTCCCAAAATTTCTCCTTCGAACTCGTATCCAACCCTACTTGAGGTGCGTATGCACTAATCACATTGAGGAGTTCTTGTCCTATTACAATCTTGATTGCCATGATTCTATCTCCTACCCTCTTGACATCTACAACATCTTGTGTCAAGGTCTTATCCACAATGATGCCAACACCGTTTCTCGTTCTATTTGTGCCCGAATACCAAAGCTTAAACCCTGAGTTTTCTAGATCCTTTGCCTTAAGACCAACCCACTTAGTTTCTTGTAGGCACATAATATTTATCCTTCTCCTCACCATAACTTCCACTACTTCCATAGATTTTCTCGTTAAGGTTCCTATATTCCACGTTCCTAAACGCATTCTACTCTCTTGAACTCTACCCTTCTGTCCTAGCTTCTTCACCATCCCCCGTCTAATAGGATCAAAGTACTTCTTTTGTGTGTCCTGTGTAAAGTTGATAGGAGCATATGCTCCCAAACAACTTTGAGTGGAGTCGTTCGAAAAGAAGTTTCTATGGCCCCCTTGCTCATTTAACACTGCATCCGGGTGCCGATGGAGATACAGCGACCCTTGCTCACTTATATGTAGAATGAATTCCTTTTATTTTCTTTTGAGATATATATAAAGTTTCAACATATCCAATTCCAATTAGCACATATCCAAATTCCAATTCAATAAACCACACATCCAAATCAATTCAAACTAAATACATAATATTCAATCACTTATCCAATTCAAACTACATGGCTAACATTCAACAACATGTCCAATCTTTAAGCACATTTGGCATAAAAAAGTTGCTATCTTTTTCACTGTATTTTTCAGACTTTAATCACATGAATTTAAGCAACAAAAGAAGGAACCAAAGGGAACAGAAAAGTACCTTAAGACATTCAAGGGTCGGAAAAGTGGTTGATTTGGACGGTCGGAATATGAGCTGAGCTGAGCTGAAATGGAGGTCGGGTGGTCAGTTATGGAGGTGTATGGGTGTGCGTGTGCGTGTTGAGTAGAACTACTTTTGTGCTTTATGGCTGGTGGATATAGTAGACAAAACAGAGAAATAAAGGGAGGAAACATTGTATTCCCAGGTCAAGCAAGGGAGGAAACACTTTGCAGCAACTTTATAAGCATGCTTGTTCAAAGACATAAGCTATAATCAAAACCAAACAGAAAAATTCAATCTATTTCTAACAACAGCAACCACAATTTCCTACCAAAAATAACATATCTCAACAGATTTGTTAGGAAACGATTCACAGTTATGCGCAATTCATTCAAAAGTAGGAAAAAATGGGGCACTTAAGCCACTAATTGTAACAGCAGAAAGAAAATTGAGCTACTAATTTGAAATGACATGTTCGATTCAATGAATAAACAGAAAAACAATAGGATTTTTAGCTGCCTCGTATAATCTTTTATGCCAACCTTAAAATGTTATGATAAATTCAGTCAAAAGTTGGAAAAATGGGGTTTTTGCAATGAAATTGTCATGTTTTGATTCAATAGTTTAGACCACATGGACAAAATTGAAATTGCATGCTTCATTCATTCAAAAGTAGGAAAAAAGTCGGATTTTTAGTTGGTTTACATAAATATTTTATAGGAGGTGTTAAAATGACATGCTTAATTCATTTAAAAGTAGGGAAATGGGATTTTTTCAGTGAAATTGTCATGTTTTGGTTAAATGTTTTAGGCAAAATGGACAAAGAAGAAAGAAAACACACCATTCGGTTAAAAAAAAAATTTCCTTTTGATTTTGGCGAAAACAAACGGTTCTGTCTAAACAAAGTGTTAATGATCTTCTTCCCCTAGTTTGGTACTTTGCAAATAGCACAATGGTGCACACTGCTCAAGCGTGATTTCCGAATGGGTAATGCACAGCAGACTAAAATTACAAAGAAATTTTAACCTAACATCAAATTTACCCAAACTCCAATCATTCCTCTGATTTGTTCCAAAAAATTACAAACACACTCTAATCTAACACCTATCAACGGGGTTCCCAGATGTACAAAAAAATGATGACAAAAACTCACCCAAAAATCAAGCTACCAATCTCTCAAGTACGTACTTGATAAAAGCGAAGCATATACATATGTAAAATATGAATGAAATATGCAACAATTGTATAAAAACATGCATAAATGATAAACCAATCTTACAAACATGTTAAATAAACAGAAGGTATATAATAATAAAAAAGAAGAAGGAGAACAAAGTACTAACAATAGCAAGGAAATTATTTTTGGCGGAAGGAGATTTACCCAAAAAATAAGAGGACCACCAGAGACACTGCCAAATTTGCGACTAATCAACGAAGGAACCAAAATGAAAAATATCCTCTCAGCGAGGAAAACCTAGCACAGGATCAGAACCAACCCAAAAAAACAATGGTTACAATTTCATCCAAATCAAGCAAAAATCAAAAGAAAAACCAAACACAACACATACCACCGTCGATCGCAACCCCAGAAATTGTGTGAAGCAATTTTACCACCCAAAACCCTAGGTTTATACAAATGGAAAACCTATTTCGGCAGAGAAGCTATAACACTAAAAGACCAACACAACAGGAAGAAAAAGAGAAATGAAGAGGAAGTGGTATTATCAGACAGTGAAGAAAACAGCACAAAATATCTGATTTGATGTCCCAATTTAATAATTTAAAATCAAATCTTGCACTCCCAACTAAAAGTTGAAGAACCGAACCAGAATTAAACAGAAAAGAAAGCAGGAAAAAACAACAGGTTTCTAAGCAAGTTCAAACCAGAAACAGTGAAATAAGGGAAAATTCGGTTCAAAAGGGACACTTAGCTTTGAAAGGAATGCAACCTGCCAGCTGGGAGAAATCCTCATCAATGCTTGCAGAAATAGCTTCCAGCTGGAACCAAATCTCTGAAACCAACCATAGCTTTAGGCGTCCCTTCCTGCCTCACCGTTTCTCTAAAGCAGAGCTCACCGAGAAAAAACAAAACCCAAATTCCGGGCAGCCCTACCTATTGTTTTGCTTATCCTACCCCTCCCTCTCTCCTCCAATTTTTCCTTCTAGAAGTCTTCATCTCTCTTCTCTCAGGCATCGCACGACCCACCTCTCGTCTCTCTGCCATCGGACGACTCCTGTCTCTCTTCTCTCTCGCATCGCACCACACCTCCCCTCTCTACTCACTGGCTTCATTGCAGGCTAGGCCTGCCCGTGTCAGCCATCGTCCGAAAAACCCGACTACAAACAAAACCCACCAACCCAATCACAGCCCAAACCTGCAAAAAGCCCATACAACTAAACCTAAAAGAAAAACAAAGCCCAGGCAAAATCCGTAGAGCAATGGCATTGTTGTAATTAAATTGACACTATTCATTTCTACAGTGCCATTTCCCATGCTTTCTTTAGACTAAAGTAATGAGAAGATGTAAACAGCTGGGCATCCTTAGCATTTCCCAACTTCTTTATTAATTTGAGAGTGATCCTCTGAATAATTTTGGCTTTTAGATTTGTTTGAAATTTTTTTTTATTTAACTTGCAGGTTTAGTATCATTTTACGGCTTTCTACAACTCTTTGTTCTTTCTCTCTTCCTTTATGTATTTTTAGTCAAATTGAACTGCTCTTTTTAACTTTAGATTTTACTAAAGTGTTTAGAACTTAATTAAGCGGAAATTTACTCAGGTTGATCTCTATTTGGTTGACAAAATAAGCATATAATACCTCCACAGTTGAGGGGCCGGATAATTTGCAGGCCAACGTTAAGATTGCTCAGAGCATTAGAGGATAATGGTAATGGATATGAATTGTCGTTTTATGACAAACACTGCATATTGATGTTGGTAGGTTTAGTTTTTGCTCCACCAAATTGTATGATAAGATAATTCGAAGTTATGAACTTTTTTATTAGGCTTTGTAACGCCCCTGTATTGTGTATGCCCGAAATTATTTCCGTATTTTTCCTATGTTACTGATACATGGTTATTGGTGTATATTGCACTTCAATAATCTAATACCCGTAATACTAGAAATTAGACTGACCATGAAGATGTAGTTGACCCACGTTAATCTACTTTCTGCGTGGAGTTTCAGGCTTTTAAACTACTGCAGATATTTCTTCTTCAATGTTTTAGAGCCAGAGGGGTTGTAATGATTGATATCAGTATGCAACCAGTACCTATTTTCCAACATATTCTCTATAACCTATTCTATTGTTTTCTCTAATATACATGTTATTGCCCCCCCTTTTTTTTAAGGCAGTGTCTTCCGTCATTGGATCAAGGTGGAGCATCATGTTAAGTTTCTAAAGGGATACAATGATTTGGTGTTGTTTAACTCAAACAGCGGGCTTGCAGGTAAAATGTTAAGCTTTATGTCCAAAGCGATCCTTTTCTGCATGCTGACTGTGTGTTGATTTGAAGGGGTGGTTTTGTGAATGGGTGTTTCTTCTTTTTGGCCCTTCTCTATAATCATATATCTTTCTCTATTCTCAGGTATCAGATCATTCGAAACAAAAACATTTTAACTCTAATTTTGCAGGTTAATGTTGGGTTTGAGTCCAACACGATATACACTTGAACAGAGTAGAGTAGAAGACAATATGCAAACATGATTTAGGACACAGTTTACCTATTTGTAAACATTGTGAAATATTATTAGTTATGAACATCCAATTTGAATCCCCCACATGCCAAATTAGGTACCATTAAATTAGTTTTATGTCTTTTTTTTATTTGAAAGCTGCTTCTTATTTCTCTGTTTTTATTAAGATTCTGGGATGTGCTTTGGATTTGCTACATATGGTCATATTTGTCATTGGCTTTTTGTTCTGCTTAGTTTTTTTTAATTGAGTGTTTTATCTGGTATTTCATTTTGTTTAGTTTATTTGTTTCCTTTTTATGTTTAAATGTTTTTTTTTCTTTCTAAATTTGGGCTTCTGGGAAATTCTTGCTCACTGTTTGGATTCTGAGAAAATTTAGGGGATGTCCAGTAATATTCACATCCTGAAAACTCAGTGAAAATACATACCAATTTATGTGCAGCTGAAAATTTTGTTATCTGATTCGTGTTCTACATACCAATTCATGTTCTAATTAACATGATTTATTTGTTTTTTAAAATTTTAATTATTTCGTATTTATTTTGTGATTGCAGATGTTTAAATGATGGAGAGGTTCGCAAAGTTGTTACTCGGAGGAGACATGTCTGGATGAGGGAAAGGTGTCTGCACTGCCCTTGCTATCTCAAATGCCATCACCAATCTCTCTGGTTAGTCACATTCCTCTTGGAATATGCATATTCTTATGCGATGTTGGCTGATACCTTGGTGAATCAACTTAATAAAAATGTGAGATGAGCTAAAAAGTCTACTTTCTTCTCATATGCATCCTTTAACATATGTCAGTTTTAATTATTGATGAGCAATTGAACATTTCTTCTCAAAAAAAAAAAAAAAAAAAAAAAGAGCAATTGAAAATTTAGTTTTTCTTCTCATGGTACACTTACATTGGTAGATCAACATATGTTTGTTTTTAACATATCTTATTAAATGCATTTAAGAATCAATTGAAGAAACTATTCAGTTCTTTTAGCAATTAAGAACAAGGTAAACATAGTTGTAAATATGTGTAAATAAGATAGGAATTTTGATGAATTTATGTTTTTTCTCCATTTTTCAGTGTTTTCAAATATTGAAGCTAAATATGGAGAGGGTTTGAGACTTTTAGACCTATTGGACCTCTCAAGGTTTGCGTGGTAAGGAATTTATGGAGTTATACATATAGTAGTCATTATAGTTTATGTTCTATTGAATTTAATTTAATGGTTATACTTTATGCTCCTATGAGTTATTACTGTTATTTTTACTATGAGTAGGATTTGTTGAATGACAAACTACAAGGAGGTTTTCTTAAATGAATATGATATGCTATGAAACCGAATGAAGCTTACGGTCTTCTATTTTCTTTTGTTAATTTCGTGGTAAGTTTCTATAACATTGATTAGTCGTGTCTTCGAGGTTCTAATGGCTAGAAATGCTAATGTAATCAACTGTGGAATATTGTAATAGTTTATGGTCAATGTGATCCCATATCTATTTGAATGAAATATTGTTCTATAACAAGTTTAAACTTTGTTTTTCCAATACCTAATCACAAAATAATTCCACCTTGGACAAATTACAAGGTATGCTGCAACCTGTGCTTTGATTAAGTGCATTCAAATTGATACTGCTTAAGAAGGCATTTGAACATGTTGAATTTCACGCCCGAAGCATCGCACGGGCAGCATTGCTAGTATCAATATCATAGTTGGATTGGATACAGACAATGCCGACAGAAAGTGACCTTGCGCCGACCCGACAAACAACAGCATTCGGCAATTCCAAAGGGAGTCCTCCCGCAAAATCCTTAAAACAACTCAATCAAAATGAACGTAGAATGAAAGTCAAAAGTAAAATCAAAATGAATGTAGAATCAAAATAAAACACTGGATTTCACTATAGAGTCTGAAAACTGAAAGGATTAAAATAGTCCAACTGCGAACTGATTACCTGGGTATAGGTTGAGTGGTGAAATCTGTGAAGTGTAAGATTGTGAATTTAGGACAATAAATTGTATACCAGTATACCACTCAAATAGAAGGAGATCGAAAGCAAAAAAAAAAACTAACACAAAACTGACCCAGCAAAATTGTTAATATATTAAAAACTAAATATTTCAACAAATTATATACCTTCAGCAAAACCCCAAAATAAGAACACCGGCGTTTCCTGAAAGCAAAAAAAGAACGAAATCAGACAGCCACACACGGTGTGCTCGCCCCGAAATTATAAAAAGAAAATTTAATAAAAAAAAAAAACTGAGGCAAAAGAAAGGATCTCAAATCTGAGAGACATGCATACCTTGCATGTTATGAGTTTCATATGCAATGTTAAGGCCGACCTTGATTCTTTCTGGAAAAAAAATGCAAAAAGCGATCTGCAAGAGAATAACAAAGAAATTTCAAAATCAACGGGACTCAACACAACAATCTCAAGCATAAGTCTTCACCGTGTTCAGATCTCATCTTATTGAAGCGCTTCAATGCGCTGTCCGAAAGTGAAATTGTAGGTGCAAGCCCCTCGGTTTTTGGCACCACTGAAACACAGACAAATCTCAGTACCACTGGATTATGAACCAAATGTTAAAAAAATGAACATGTTTTATCGTAGGACTCAACTCAACAATCTCAAACTGCTGCTCCTCAGCTTCACAGACTCAGAGAGACAAATCCCACTCAGAGATAGACAAATATTTGGAATTTTTCTGTACACCTCTCTCACAAGAAGACAACAACGTTTTGGGAACACTGTTCATGAACAGTGAAATTAACAGTGTCGTTCCGATTCTGCCCTCCCATGTTTACTCTGATCTCAGTTTTGCCCTTCTGTATTCTATTTGCTTCCAGCGTCTTCCATTTTGCTCATCACTTTTCTGCTTCTCTTCCTCCCTCTTTCCCTTCCCCTCTCTCTGCCTCAAATTCAATCCGATCATCTAAAAGCGTAGTTCCTCTATTGTTCTCCGCCGTTTTCCAGAAATCGATCATTGTTGCTGCTGTAGTAGTCATCGTCCACGCAGTCCATCACCGTCCGACCACACAAACCTTAACGGCGGCCGGAGAACCACAGAACCAAGAGTAAAAAAAAAAAGAGAGCGGGAAGCAGCCAAAATACAGAGAAGATGGCAAGAGAGAGGAGAAATGGAAAGCAGACAAACAAAAACCCTGTTGCAAACGTGGTGTGCTAGCGAGATTTCTCTGTCTTTCACTGCTGGCTGCTCTGGCTTTTTGATTGTTCAAGATATTTCTTTCCGTTTTCTCTCCTGACTTCCCCTTGCATGCATAGCCCTGCATCCCTGCCGCGATCTCGCCTTCGATTCCAACAAGTGCGATCAATCTGGCCCTTCAATTCCCCGCATAATCCTCCTTTTCCAGGCCTCTCCGCCCATCTGTCCTGAACGAAACCGTGGATCGACTGCTTCCCTTGAAATCAAACCCTAATTTTGCCCCCAAACGAATTCGAACCCAGCCAAACTCAAATCCCTGCAGATTTTTTTGCCTTTAAAAGGTTTGGATCGGTGCCGATTGATGTTGGATTTTGTGAGGCTGGATTTCTTACCTCTAAGATTTGTTGGTGAGTTTTTAAGTTTTTTTTTATTAATTATGTTTTAACTTTTTTCTGGTAGTTTTTTATGTTGAGATGATTAGTGGTCAATTTTTTTTTTTTTTAATTTGATTGTAGGTGTTTTCTCTATATTGTTAGATCTGTGGCACGGTGCGTCTCCTTATCACCACCAATGGAAGGTAATTTAAGAATCGTGTAAGATTAATCCTCAAATTTTGAATTTTATTTTTTATTTGATTTCTCTTAATGCATGTTTAAGATTCGTGTTTGTGGAGGTGATTTTAGACGGATTTCAAGCTGGATTGCAGAGATAAGTAAGTTAATAAGAATCATGATTATTGAAAGAAAAAATGGATAAAAATCAAAGTCGCACAGTATTTGGTACACTTTCTGTGTAAAGGAGCCGAAATTATAGTAATCTTCCCTTTATTTGATAGTTGTGTTAGGTATAATATTATGGTTTTCCTATCTGTTAATAGGGGTTTGGGAGTTCACTAAAATCGCTTCGAATTTGCTTTAGTTTTGATCAGAAGAGGAGGCACAGGCAACTGGTCAGGAGACTTGGCTCGATTTTCGACGGGGGACAAAGATTTAGATGGTATACTCTGCTTCTATTTGTCTATTTCTTTGTGTAATTCAATTCAATGTGTTTTCATGAAACTAAATGCGTTGTAGTGATACTAATATTCAATTCTCTAGATGCATATGCTTCTCTTTCTGATCTAGCACATTTGATAGATAATAAAGCTGTACAATTGCACATTCGATAAAACACCCCGTCTTCCTTTGCTGACAAGCCGAATGATTATGAGCTTCCAATCCTTTGAGCAATATTTTTACCAATTGTTTTTTTGTTGAGTAAACCAATTCTTTTTTTATTAAAGGAAAGAATGCTTTTACCAAATTGCTTACAAAATTCAAACATACTCACCTATATGCAGGTTTTCTAAAATATCATCCTATTTTTCAATTCGTAGTCAATCAATGGTCCAAATTGTTCACTTTTAGAATTTCTTACAAGAATACATATAATCAGCTAAACCAACAATTGATTAGTTGTTCGATTGTTTTGACATTTTCATTACAATTTTGCCTAATGAGTTTCGTGATTTTGTGTATATTTTAGGATTTGAATGATTGGTTGCGAGATTAACTCTTGAATATGGAAGTTAAATATAAACACAGTTTCGATCACTAAAATGCATTATGAAAAATGAGAATCAAACTTTACAAAGATATAATAATAAATAGAACTCCAAAATACTCGATTGGACTAGAATAATTTAATACGTTTTGACTTCGTTGGGGGATGATCAAAAGAATTGAAAACAAAGAGAAGAAACAACAATGAAACATAATACATAGTAGTCATACTAATATTCAATTCTCTAGATGTATAAGAGATTTGAGGAATTTTGAGAGCATGGTGGCTAGCTAAGGTGTTGTTTTAATGTGTTGTTTTGAGGATTCTGAAATCATGAGATAGTTGACATTGTATGTTATACTGAATTAAGAGCACACTTTCATATAGAATTTCATTTATCTTAACTCAATCTAACATTAGTTCTACCAATTTTTATCTGATTTCTTTTAACATATCTCTCTTTTTTTCTCATTCAAATATGCATTACTGATGCTTTGTTATGCACCTAGCTCTTTGCTTCTGTTGCCTACTATCATTTTCTACTATTGTAATATAACTTTTTACATGTTTTATGTACTTTTAAAACCCGCAGCAACGCGCGGGCTCTTTTACTAGTATTCACTATATCATGACAAATTGCTTCTTTGCACACACTTATTAATTAAAATTTATATACTGCAATGTTAGAAATATTCTTATCCATCCAATTTATAATCCCCCAGTAACACGCGGACATCACTATCTAGTTAATATCTAAAACTTAAAACAAATGAAAATTGAACTATAAAAATACAAAATGAAAATGGTTGGAATTTAGCAACTTGTAAATATTAGGCAATGTGATTTCAAAGGAGATTGAACTGTGGTTGGACTTAAATAACTAACAAATCACATATTAAGCTATACGGAGAAAATGGTTATGTATTCCATTTTCTTACACTCAAAAAAAATTCTGGTTTATTAGATTTTTTTTTATTCATTTTTAGTGACGTGGGATAAAGTTCCTAATATACTCCTAAATTTAACAAAAAAAAATGATGGCGTTAATGAAAATGATCAATGGTACAACACATTGTAGAGTTCGAAGACTAAAAAACTAATATGAGAGTTTAGAGACCAAAATTAAACTAGGAGTAACGTTCAGAAACCATTGGTACAATCAAGTGTTTCTTAAGAATAATCAAATGGTTGAAAATCGAATGGAATCGTATAATAAATTGGTTCGGCTGTAGTTTTGAGTTTTTATTTTAGATGTATCCTCTTACAGGTTGAAATAAAAATGGTTTTCTTTTTTTTTTTTTTTTGAAGCGAAGATACGATATTTATTAAGTAAATTAGAATTCGTACAAATTGAGGATAGTGCGCATAATGGGCCTCGAAGGAAAAGAGTGTCTTGCACAACAAGAGAACTATCCTCAAATGAACAATGGAAAAGAATTACAATCCCTCCCAAATCTAGAGGCTCCTCAAACCACATTACCTCCTGAGCACTATTAATTTCCATCCGAGCAAGCTGATGGGCTGCCGAGTTCCCTTCTCGTTGAATATGACTAACCACCGAATCGACCACTCCATGAGAAGGCATCCCAGATCACTGATTATAGGACCTAAGGCAGAGTTGTCGTCCCCAGTCCCCTGCATGGAAGCCAACACCAACACAGAGTCTACATCGAACTGAATCTTCCCCTCCACCGTACAAATAGTGCCCACCAATATTGCAGCTCTACGAGCTACAAAGAATTCAGCATGCAATGCAGAGTTTGCCCTCTCAATGGGCCCAACAGCAGGGACAATACACTCCCTCAAATGACTTCGAATCACCACCCCAAAACCTCCCCGGTTACTTCTATTGTTCCAAGCTCCAACGAAGTTGCACTTAACCCATCCCTCCGCAGGTCTCCCCCACTTCTGATGCTCTCGGCTTGCCTTCCTCGCCAGTGGCTTGTGCCACTTATGAAATTCCTACATCCAGCCCTCGGTACGAAGCATAATTTTAAGCGGCGGTAACCAGATAAGCATGTTGAATTTAATGTTAGTGAAATTTTGAAGATTGACGACATGTTGAATTTTGGCCAACAATATTGTAAAAAAAGGCAAAAGAAAGAAAAACTATTATAATGTCATTGGTTTGGTCGCAATTTTTTTGTGAAACCAATCCAACCTGAACAATGCCCGTCCCTAACGTATATGATTATAAGTGCTTGAAAATTCCTGCATACGTTCATGGTCATGTGAGACCCACGTGATTTAACTTGTCACGACTTTATGTAATTTTCAAAAAGAGATCGAGTCATTTACAATTTTCAAATCTTTAACAATTGAAATCACTGTTTTATGGTAATTATACAAAATTACTTTAATTATGAGTCGAATCATAATGTCATGTCTTATATTTTACAAATTACAACTAATTAGTACTACGTTTTAGTGATATTCCTCTTCAGTTGCAAGTGAGAGGTCTTAAATTCGATTATCGCCGAAGGTGAATTTGAACCACATTATTGCTAGCTCATTGTGAAGCTAAACTCATCCCCTCTCTCTTAGTGTAGATAATATCGTTTATTAAAAAAAAAAACTACAATGTCATACATCATCTTACGAATTTATTGTAATGTCAAATCCTCCGTCATTTTTTCTGTTAATCATCCCCACCTCCTCTTCTGGACACCAAACCCGATTGAACCCGCCGTCCCTTCGACCCCAGCTCCAGTGCAACCGCCTCCATCGATTTCAAGATCTCCAAAGCCCTACAGCAACGATTAGTCCCTAGTATCGTTGCCAAAGATGATGCTAGCTCTGAATTCGAATCTAAACCCGAATCCGACAAACAAGTTTATTTCTTGTTGATTTTACTGAAATTTTTCATTCAATCAATTCATTATATATAATTTAATAAATTAAGTGTTGGATCTTCGACAAAGCTCTACACACCCTCCCAAAGATCTTGGACAAAACACAACAGTGCATGTGGGTCAAGAGGTGATGGATCCAATGGAAAAAGGGGAAAGGATGTAGGATGGAGGAAACAAAGGGATGAGAAAGCCATAATGGAAAGGAAGAAAATGAATTGTTTGAAGACATGTAATTGAACAAATAGTGCGGAGAATAGGAGAAGGAAAGTTGGAATTGGGGGCTTTCCGGTCTATATGACGAAGGAGTTGAGGTTTGGGGTCGGAGAAAATTTGGTAGAAGAATAGGAGGAAAATTATGCTGATAAACACACAAAGAAAGGAAATCGAAAGGAAACCAGGGTTGCCACCAACCCTTGCTAAAGCAAGGGCTGGCGGCTAATTGATTTTTCGAATCTGTAAACTCACATAGGCGGTGAGAATAGCTCTCAATAGAAGAGAAGCTTGAATATGTTTTCTTGCTCAATTTAGGTCCAACAAGAAGCTCAAGTCTTAAAACTGCATTTAACCTTAAATCGGAGCGAGTCTTACTTTAAGAGTGCAACTTGTGTCAAACCAAAATTGAGTTGCATTGTGGTATGATTGGGTTTAGATTCTAGAAATGGGCTCTATATTTGTCACATTAATAATTTATTCGTATCCACGATGAGATGTAATTGTCACGTATAATTTTAACATTTTAAAACTTAAGGCAGTAATGTATAAAAATTGAAAGATTGTATTTACTTCATAGGTATAATTTGTACTAAGGATAGTAAAGGTTAACTGCAACTGTTTAATTAATTGGTGAATTGTCTTGTTTTTTTTTTTTTGTCTCTTTTATATCCTTCAATGTAGACTAATTTTTTATTTTTAGCATGATTTGCTTTCTAGTTGTTCATTTTAAAGTTCCATTTGAGATTACTTGTAGAAAATTAAGTGCGCTTCATGACAATTAAATGCGTTGCTAACAATATAATCAAACTCACTTACATCAGGTAAGCCAAAAGCGTCTACAGTTTCTCCTCAAAGCAAAGAAGAAAAAGTGCTTACATTTGGTCAAATTTCACTTAAGAGCACCATTTATCCAGCACATTGACATTTTCCCCCTTTATTTACTCAAGTAAAACCTCAATCAATTATTCAACGCTTGCAGAAAAGCAAAAAACCAGTGATCAACTAATGTAGTAGAGCGGATCAGGCAACTTGAAGGTCCGGTTGCCGACACTTGTCCCCAATATATCGCTCCATTGATCGCCCATGTTCCCAATTATTCTGAATCCACTCTTCTCAAGCTTCTCCCTCTCTGCTGATTTATACTCGTACGATGTCTTCCCAGAATAAGCTGATCCCCTGCAACCAAAAATGTTACTTAAATTTAGACGGCAATAAAAACAATATATACAATAAAATGTAGTTTTGCTATGAACAGTCAATAGATAGGTAGGGTTATGATGGAGGAATAAGAATATGAGGTAGGGAATCCTCGAATTCGGATAAGGAGGGCCAGAAGAGCGCTTGATTTCTAACACTAGCCCTTGATTTCTATCACTAGCCCTCCTCGAAACTGCAATAAAGCAACAAAAATGTATGTTTGCTAGGAACCATTTGGAGGACCACAAATACATTCAGGTTGATTTTTTCCATGAAAAGTTAAAAAATAGGCAAGATATACTGATATAGGGTTAAAGTAGGTCAAGATGTATGCACGCGGAAATAGAAAAAATTAGGGTTGAACCACTATTCGTCAAGTGTTAAGTTAACTCGTTGGTAGATGCTTACTTTAAGACAAGCTTCTCCCAGGTGTGATATCCGACATTTTTGAGATTGGCGATTGTGACACTTCTCTGATCTTCTCCTCTACCTGTTATGAACACGACCTTGACTCCAAGTTTCAACAATTTCTTGTACAGCTGAAGACTCTCGGGCAAAGCTGGGGCTGTGCCTTCCAACACCCATTCATTGAATGAAGTGGAATTGTATACCTCGGTCCTGAAAATATTAATTCCCAAAAATGCTGTTTAAACTATGAGTGCTAATTAAACCCTACCAAACAACAACAAACTTCTTCATTAATTAATTCATCATGTGATTTGCCAATTATCTACATTATCTAAAAAGATTGTATTTCTAAGATTTCTCAATTATTGTTTTGCTTTTTAGCAAAATTTCCATTTGGATGATCAACTTCTTTGATTTATTGCTACTTTATTTTTCTATTATGCGTTGGGTCATGTGCATCCTCATGCTTTATATTTAATAAAATCTTTGAAATATATTTGTTAGTTAGGAGAGATTTTTCAGTACACACGAGTTGATACATCACGTATTACTATACAAATGATATAATATGTATGTTAAAAAGTTAATAACTTAAAAAATAAAATTTTCTACCATTTATATAAAAACACATGGTGTACCACTCATTCTCCGTCACAATAAAAAATTTAGACTAGCTAAGAGCTTAGGTACCACATTATTGGTCACATTATTAACATATAAGCGAGTTTTATACAGTAGAGTTATAATGTTAGTGAGTTAAATGAGAAATGAGAGAATGAATGGTAGTCGAATCCGCACTAAGATATATAAGTATGATTGTTTTCCGCTGAGTTTCATACATTATTATTCTTTTATTAATCAAACAATTTGCGTTATATAAACTTCATTATTCGTTTATTTATCAAACAAGCATTATGCAATCCTAGGGGGTCCCCCTTATAGAAAAAAAAACGCAAAACCCGTGAAGGGTCCTTATTATTGTTTATTTCAACATTAATAAAATAGTGAATAATATCATGAAGGCGATAAATATAATATATCATAGGTTACTACAAGTTTTTGTTGAAATTTTTTATTATAATTTAATATTTGACAATTTGAATGTATGTAGTATAAAAATGAGAAACGAACCAAAAAATAGAAATAAAGAACTCCATAATTAATTTACAATGTTAAGCAGCGTACATACACTCGTGGGTTTTCATATATTAATCCCCGATCTGAAGAAAAAAAAATGAGTATAATTCTCTCTCTTTCGTTTTTTCCTTCTCTTTCATTCCCTCATATTTGAACGGTACGAATGAATATGTTAAGGACAAAGAAGTCAAGCCGGCCAATGAGTCCGACCAATTTATCCACAAATATTACCATTATTGAACATAATTAACATTTTCTTAAGAAAAAATTTGATGAATTATTATATAAACGTTAAAGAAATTGCTTGCATAAAAGAAAATTAATATCACGATTTTGGTAATATTTACTCAATTAGCAACTTACCCGAATCCATGACGAGCATAATACGGTAGATTAGAGAGTGTAGTTTCATCGATATCAAAGACCCAAACGTTCTTGCCATCCTTTGTAAGATTGAGGCTCTTAGCATAGAGCCAAGCCACATCAGTGACCGCTTTTGAGTCCTTCCTGTACTGGTGCCCAAGCATGTAGTGCCCAACGTAGCTTTCACACTGTGCCGGAACAGTCTTCCAGTTGATAATGTTCCTAACTTCCACCCCCAAACGCCAACTCAGGCAAGACACGCCGGGAACGCTGCTGCCACCCGCCCCGGATTTCGGCCTGAGGAGATGGATATGGTGGTTTATAAGTGGCTCATAAGCTTGAGTTGTTGAGAAAAATATGGCAAGAAGGAAGAGTAATACTCCTGGCAATCTTTCCATGGTATGTGCGGGTTTTGGTGAGTGGAGACTTCGTTGCATTAGATTGATAAGTTTCCTTCTTTAAATAGAGTTTAATCAAGACATTGACCTTTGGTTTTAAGGATAATTACGTGGGTGCCCCTTAGTTATGCTGGTGTACTATAAGTGAAAATTAGAGGAATATTTTTTTTTTTGGAAAAATGAGGAAATATATTGAAAAAGAGAACAAGTACAAGTGGAGTCACAGAAACTCTGATCCCCGATGGGGATACATAGTGATACCAACCATACAGAGAAAGTAAATCTCAGGAAGAGAAGATAACACTAGCTACAAAAAGCCATCAAGGCATACAAAAAAATAGAGGATGGCAATGGAGTAGCCATCATCAGACTACCAATGACGGAGGACAAAGGAGTCCATCATGTGAAAGTACCAGAACCAAGGAGGGAGGAGGCATTGAAGCCCATTGGAAGTGTCTCACCCTCGAGTTGCCAAGTGCAGCTACCAAATGAGCTGCTCGATTGGAGGACCTTGATGTCCGAGTTAAAGTTACCGATGAAAAATGAGATGCCAATCGTCGAATCTCAACGATAATGGGGTAAATTCTCCATATTTTGCTGTGAGAAGGACAATTGATGGCCTCTATGACCACTATAGAATCACTCTCAATCATAACATGCTGGAAGTTTTTTGTTGAAGCTAGTTTCATCCCTGTTAATACTGCTTCAGCTTCAACCTCTTCAACTGAAGCTCTCTTCAAGAAACTGGACTCACCGCAAATAAGTTCACCACTAGAATTTCGAATAACAACTCCCACTCCAGTTTCCATCATGGAAGAGTTCCAAGCCCCATCAACGTTAACCTTTACGTTCCGGTCCACTAGAGGGATCCACCTATGAATATAATGATCCTCTTGACTAACAATTGATGGGAGCCTGGTGTGTATATTTGTTATGTCATTGTACATACTGTTACATCTTGCTAAGACAAATATGGGGTTGGGAGCCACCTTCATGAAAATTGCATGACATCGTTCTTTCCAAATCTCCCAGCATATCACCCCAACATATAACCAAATAGTATCCCTTAAAGATGAAGATCCTATCGTAGCCATGCATAGAAGCCAGCGATCAAGAGAGGTAATTCCTTGATTATTGGGGTGATAACTTAAGCGAGAGTCATACCACACATAGTGCACCCACGGGCACTTGAGAACAATATTTTCTAAGGTTTCATCCTCTGTACCACAAAATGAGCATCTAGGATCCATGCCAATGTGTCAAGATAAGAGGTTGTGTTTTGTATGAATGGCATTTGAAATAGCTCTCCATAGAAAGTTGTTGATTTTTGTACTGCCTTCATATTCCATATTAACTTCCATAGTTTCGGATCCACGTGGTGGGATTGGCGAGAATTAATACAAGGAGGGTCGCTAGCATGCTTCAACATTGCCTAATGATAACCACTTCGAACCAAATATTGCCCATTTAGATTCCAAGGCCATACCAACCTGTCAGATTCACTAATATTGTGCAAGGGTATGGTTAAAATAAGGTCAATATCACAAGCTGATAGAATATGCACAATCTCCTCCAAGTTCCACATTCTCCTCTCTTTGTTAATCAACGACTCCAATCTATCTTGGATATAATCTTGTAAGAGTTATTGCAAAGGCTAATGGGGCGATACAGGCTAGTATTTTCAGGATTGGGAACTTCAGGAATAAGGGCAATATGTGTTTTATTAATATGGTTCAGCATGATAGAACCCCTGGAGAAATCAACCGCTGTGCTAACAATGGTGTCATTAATAGTTTCCCAAAAACTATTAATATTAGTGCTTGAACTTTTCCACTTAATTGGTGTCATCTAAAAGGAATATTGCTTCAGATCGTGACAACTCTACAATTCAATACTCATAAATTTCTAGTTTTGGGATCAAACTCCAATTCGAATAAAATTCAGGAATCACAATGGCTAAGATGCACAAGACCTTGAGTTGTTTTAGAAATTAATTATAAGGATCGGGTTTTTTTTTTTTTGTATGATGTAAAGATATATTTACACTAAAAGATGGAAGAATAAATTAGTATTAAACTCACTATTTATGAAATTTGAACTTAAATATTTTACTTACAAGTGAAAATGAATATTACTAATTGTATTATTTATGAAAGGGTTTTTATCACAAATTGTCCCTGAAATTGACCATCACCATCTAGATGGTCCCCGAAATTGAAAATCAATCAATGTAGTACCTGAAAATAGGTGTTGCAAATCAATGTGATCCTTCTGTCACAATTCTGTTAAAAATTATGTTAAGTGCTGATGTGGCACATAAATGAGTCTCATATGTCCTATTTTCTCACAAATGGTCCTTGATATTGACCCGCAACATCAAAATGGTCTTTGAAATTAACATTTGACATCAAAGTGGTCCCTAAATTTGAAAATCGATGAATGTAGTCCCTTAAATAAGTGTCCCAAATCAATGTACTCATTCTGTCACAATTCTGTTATGTTCTGATGTGACACATAATTGGATCACACAAGTCTAATTAAATTTAAAAAAAAAATACAAACAGGTTTAATAATTTAATTGTTAATAAAAAATTGTAAACCTAAAAGCCCAATCCTACAATTACTTCTAATCACAGTCCACATTCCTCTACCTCATTCGCTGTCTATTCTATAAAATAAAATCTCAATACATCTAACTTTACACACTTCGACACCCTCCACCGAATTGGACTTGGATTGAGATCAACTTTGGTGACGGCTTGGCTGATTGGCAACAATTTCTGAGACATTAGGGGATCAACATCCTCACAACTTTAATCTTGGAGAGTTTGTTCGGCACTTCCCTGTGGTCTGGTGACTCAAAGAACGGGGATGTTTTCATTGAGATAATGAGGTTATAACCAAGGCGCATCTATTGTTGGTTGAAAACTTTTTCAAACCCCATCTTAGGCCTTGGTTAAGCCTTGTGCTTTTGAGAATTTATGGAAGGGATCTCTCTTCAGAGTAGGTCCTATTATAAAAAAATTCTATTGTGCAAAAAAGTATTTGGCAACTTTTTTAATTAATTATTATACTCACATCAGCACATAACAAAAATTTTACAGAATTGTGGCGAAATGATCATATTGATTTGCAACACCTACTTTCAAATCTACATTCATCGATTTCAATTTTAGGGACCATTTTGATGGTGTGGGTCAATTTCAAGGACCATCTTGATGGTGTGAGTTAATTTCAGGGATCATTTGTGATAAAACCCATAAATCTTATGGGACTCATTTATGGGCTACATTAGCACTTAACAGATTTTTTAACAGAATTGTGATGAAGGAACCACATTGATTTGCTACACTATATTGATTGATTTTCAATTTCAGGAACCATCTTGACAGTGAGGGTCAATTACAGGAACCATTTGTGATAAAATCCATCTATGAAATATGAATACTACATCAAGGGGTAGATATTGATATAATATTAATGCTGATATGGACGCTTTGGATGGAGCATAATAGGTTGGTCTAGAAGGGGAAATTTGTTGAGCCTTTGGAGGTACTAAAGCGGGCGTTGTGTTGGCTTCAAGAGTTCCAGGAGGCTAATTGCAGCCCTAGCCATGTTAAGGAGCCGCAACCACATAGGTGGATGACACCTAGTGAAGGGTGATTTAAATTAAACGTAGATGGCACGGCAAAGTTAGAGGTCAAGGATGGTGGCGCGGGAGGAGTACTTCATGGTGATGGAGACTTGTTTCGAGCAGCGGGTGTGTGGAGGTTCCAAGGGATCTGTTTCGTGAAATAGGTGGAGCTATTGGCGATAAGAGTTAGGTTGCAGCTTGCTATTCACACTGGATGTAGTTTGGTCCAGTTTGAAACGGACTTGGTGAAAGCAGTTGAAGCTTGCAAAGGAGGAACTATAGATTACTCACAAGTCTTGGTTTTATTGCTTCTGATATTAGGGAGTTGATGACTAAGTTTGTTAAGTGCTCAATAGCGTATATTCCTCGTCATGGTGGCACACCACCTTGCCAATTGACAAAATTTTGGTATAATAACCATAAACTTAAAATGTGCCCGTGATGTGCTTTTTTTTTTAATATTTTTCAAATGTGTGCGTGGTCCTGGACACTGGCCTTTATAGGTGCACGTGGTCCTAGGGCGTTGGGCCCTATGTTTTTCAAATTTGTGAAGATAAATGCTAATGATATAGCTACCACTTAGTACTACAGTCTAATAATATTTCTCTTCACTTGTAAGTGAGATGTCTTAGGTTTGATTCTCACCAAAAGTTAATTTGTATCATATTATTGCTAGCCCATTATGAAGATAAGCCCACTTCCCATCCCCCTTAATGTAGATAATATCGTTTGTTAAAAAAAATGCTAAGAAGCTATTTCAAAAATGGAACTCTCTATGAACTCTTTGTTATTCATGTTTTTTACACAATATTTTATAATATTTTTTACACCACATTGCCAATTGACGGAATTTTGTTATAATTACCATAAACTTAAAATGTGTGCGTGTGGTTCTGGACGCTAGCCTTTCTAGGGCATTGGGCCCAATGTTTTTCAAATTTGTGAAGATAAATGCTAAGGAGCTAGTTGCCACTTAGTACGTCTAGTGGTATTTCTTTTTATTTGTAAGTGAGAGATTTTATGTTCGATTCTTGTCAAAGGTGAATTTGAACCACATTATTGTTAGCCCATTATGAGGCTAAGCTCACATCCCCTTAATGTAGATAATATCGTTTGTTAAAAAAAATGCTAATGAGCTCTTTCAAAAGTAGGACTCTCTATAAACTCTTTGTTATTTCATGTTTTTTGCATAATATTTTATAATGTTCGCATGAGATTTTATGGTAAATTGTGAGGTGACAGAGAGTCATAGAAAGTCTCACTTTGAAAGAGTCTTCTTATCATTTCTCTTTTGTGAGTCTCTTTTTCATTACCGTTCCCACGTTTCACATTTTCACATCAATGTTACAATATTAACGGCGTTTTTTGTTTGCTACTTAGTACAACGATTTAGTGATATTCTCTTTCACTTGTAAGTGAGAGGTCTTAAGTTTGATTCTCGTCAAATACTAGTTTGAGTCATATTATTGTTAGTTCATTATGAAGCTAAACTCATACCTTCCCTCTTAATGTAGATAATATTTTTTTTGTTAAAATAAAAGCAGTTTTATGTTTTATTTGACCAACTCACGCAAGAAAAGTTGAAATCAACCAAACAGAAAACTCCAAAAGGCAAAGGGACTTATAAGTAATAATGTAATAATATATTGCCATATGCAAAACGTACCATAAATATTAATAATATATGTTGTTGTTTGCTTACCCAAGAAAGTATCACTGTCTGTTGGCAATGGCATATACTTTTTTGAAAATAATAATTGGTCAGCATATGCTTTTTTGAAAATAATAATTCATAAATTATTTAATTCTCCAAATGCCATTACATTTTTGCTATCGTCCAAACTTTAGTGTATGTTCATTATATATCTAATTATTTGTTAAGTGTTCTTTCATTAAACCTTAGTAAAGTTTTTTAAAAAATTTAAAAGTAACATTTAATGTGAAAATTAGAAAGATAAAATAACATATGATAAATAATTAGATGTATAGTGATTATACACTATAATTATAGTGGTGAGCAAAAATGCTCCCGAAAAAAGTGGCAAGAGTTGCATACTTGTAAAAGATTTAGTATAAAATTAATAAAAATATTGCATATATTTTCAGAATAAAAAGAAAGAATTGCATACAATAAGATACATCATTACAACAACAATAACAAAAAAAAATTAAAAAAAATAAAAAAATAAAAAAAACAACTAAAGTAAAATAAAAATGAAAAGGGAATTACTTTCAAATAAATATAGATGTAGGAATTTCCTAATTTCCATTCTTTTCATTGTAATAGATGGAAGTTGAATATTCTTAACACAACTATGGTGGCTATGATATTTCTCTTCAATTCATTGCGTTTCATGTTTAAAATCTCTCCCTCCTCGTAGTATAAATTAGTATAAACTATCCCTTGTATGTATATAAATCACATCAATACCCTCTCTCACTTTTCATAAAAAGTTATGTATTATATAATTGAAAGGTAATGGTAAGAGCTTATTAAAGCCTAAAATTAAAGCATCTTTTATATCACAGAACGAAGGGTATCGATGCACAACAATAGAATTCCATCACATAATGAAAGTAATTTTCACACTTATTTTTTAGGTTCTCATATACACTCTTTTATTTATGATCATCGAATTGTATAAGTCAAACGAAATCAATAATCTAAATTAAACAGAGTTGTGTGTAAGGCTAAACAAGTGTTTAAAAAGTATTTCCCTT